ACCCAAGTTTGGAAGCCGCCGGCTAATATCCGCGAACTTCAGAATTTTCTGGGGTTTGTCAATTGCGTCCGTCGTTTCATTCTGAACATGGCGGGGGTAACTTATCCTCTCACGGATCTCCTGAAGAAGGGCACACGTTTTGAGTGGGGGGGGGGAGAGCAGCAGGCTGTGTTCGAAAAGCTCAAACTTTTTCTGACTACACCGCAGATTGTTCGGATTGCAGATCCTCACCATCCATTCGAGCTCATCACCGACGTTCACGATGTGACCGTTTGCGCAGTGCTATTACAAGATTTCAGCGAAGGTCTCCAACCCATCGCCTACGAATCGTAAAAGTTGAACCCGGCCGAGCGAAATTATCCAGTCCACGACAACGAGTTACTCGCCATCGTTCACGCCTTCAAATTATGGCGCTGCTACCTGACGGGCGCTGATGTAACAGTCCGAACAGACCACAAGTCGCTACAGTTCATCCGTGCCCAACCGACACTGAATTCCCAACAGATTCGCTGGCTCGACTACCTCGATTCCAACTTCCACTACAGAGTCACCTACAAACGATGGGTTAGCAATATCGCCGACGCACTGACCCGCCCCTCGGTCCACACCGTCGCCGTCCTAATTATCCAAGCTAATTTGCTGCTAACTAGCCTATTCACCCACGGATACAGTACTGACCCATTCTTCACCACCAATAGTCATCCTTAATTGACGGTCCAACAAGGGGCCTATAACCTAAAATATGGTACTAATCAGATTTGGGTTCCTGCCTATCATACCCTACGGGAATTACTGATCTAGGAGGCACATGACTCGAATTTCTCGGGTCACTAAGGTATCGACAAAATCGCGAAATTACTCAGCCGTAATTATTACTGGCCCGACCTGCTGATAGCGGTCAGACTGAGTGCACCAACCAGACGATGGAGCAGCTGATCCGCATGACATGCATAGACCCCGCCCAATGGGACGACGCCCTTCCCTTGATCGAGTTTGCATACAACAATGCCCCATCGATCTCGACTAACCAGTCCCCGTTCTTCCTTAATTACGGGATAGATCCGACAACCCCTCTATCGCCACCGATAGAAAATCCGGCACCAAGATCTCAACAGCTCGTCGGAAACCTCCGATAGTCTCAGCAAAAAAGTCGTTGATGCAATCCTCAAAGCCAACCAGAGGGCTAAGGAGCAAGCTGATTGATGACGCCGTGACTTAACGATCGCCCCTGGGCATTTGACCCAACTCGACACCATGAATTTGGGAATTCCCCTCCCAAATAAATTACGACCAAGATTTTGCGGCTCATTCCGCATCATTCGCATGGTGATACCAGTCACCGCCCAGCTCCAGCTGCCAACCGACTGGCGAATTCATGATTCGTTCCATGTCAGTCTCATGCGACTGTTCGTCCCAAGTGCGACTAATATCGACCGTCAACACATTAATTCTCCGGTCAAGCTAGTACCCGAGCCGACGACAGAGCCGTCTAAGATTCTTGCTCATCGCGAAAGGGAACATCGAGATACAAGAGCCGTCGACTTCATTGTACGATGGGTCGAACGCACGAGTGACGACGACCTCTAGGTTCCCGCAGCTACGCTCGGCGAACATTGAGTTGTCCTGGACTATTTACACCGGCAACGTGTCCCGAATGTGGGTAGTCTCGTCCCGGAAGGGGGGTTGGTGGAAGGAAATTCCTTTTTCCTTTCTGGGCTCGACTACAGCGCGTACGCATTCTCTTAAAACTGAGTAATGAAAATGTAGAGAACCTGGGTACAAGCATACATATCTAAGGGTTGTACTCTCTAAGAGGTGACCCTATACAGTCTATACAAACATTAGATATACTGATATTTGAAACACCCCCTAGAATGCGTAGGAGCAGTTCCTGAACAAGCAGCTCAGGGCGGCACTACTAGTCCAGCCACTGAGACAAGGGTCTAAAAGACCAGTCAACAGGAGTACAGGCAAGGCAAGAACAAGACCAGGGTGGCACTACTAGTCCAGCCACTAGGAGAGGACACAAGTCCAGTCTCAGTAAATATATATGTATAAAGGACAGCACAAAGTCAAGGCCCTAGCAAGTGAGAGGCTACAGGAACTAGACCAAGCTCTACACAGTGCCGCTGATGATCTTTAGGCGCAAGCGCCTTCGTAAAGATATCAGCTGTGTTGGCACCGGAGGCCAAGTGTACTACGCGAGCCTGGCGGCGCTGCTGTAGCTCGCGCAGGAGGAAGTACCACAGCTGGAGATGCTTCGCTCTGCCCTCGAGTCGAGGCTCCTGACACAGGAGGATCATGGCCCTGTTATCAGCGTACAGGACCGGGGCAGAGCAAGGCCGCTCACCTAAGTCAGTGAGCAAGAAGGTCAGCCAGCGGAGCGCCGGTGCCGCCATGGCACCGGCGTAGATCTCGGCCTCACAGCTGGACTGGGCAACAGACGAGGAGCGGGTAGCTCTCCACGAGACGGCACCTGCACCAAGGCTGAAGCAGTAGCCCTGGGAAGACCTGAGGGTCTCGGCATCGTCTGCCCAAGAAGCGTCTGAGTGTCCAGTAAGGACCACTGGCCTGCGTCCTCCTAGCACTAACCCCATGCCCGATGTACTTGCGAGATAACGCAGAACCCTCTTAGCGGCAGACCAGTGCTGCGGTCGGTGTCTACCTGTGGCCACAAATCGAGCCAGGATGCTGAGAGGGTATGCGAGATCTGGGCGAGTGCAAGTCATCAGGTACATGAGGCAACCCACCAGCTCTGCGTAAGGACCACTGGGCTCTACTGACTCCTCAGGAACTGGAGCGGAGAGTCTGTGGTCTACAGGAAGAGGTGTGGGCTGTGCGGAGGAGAACTGAAGGCCGAACCTCTGAAGTCAGCGACCGCAGCGATAAGAGCGTCAAGACACGAGGCCGGAACAAACGGGTCGGTAACGAGAGAGGCGAGGACCCGAGGAACAAGGGGACGAGCGGCACGAAGGTAGTCAGACAGAGGAGGAGGCGCAACTGAAAGAGTGGACGAAGGAGGCGACGGTAGAAGGGGAGGACGAGACGCGTGGGAACGGAGCAACATAGTGTGAGAGTGCGGGACAGGGGAGACAGGACGAGCGCGGGAGGGATGGCGAGACCAGACATAAGACGTAGGTGTCGGGTCAAGAGACAGAGGAGTGGACACAAGGGGGGAGCGAGGGGGAAGACGAGCCGGGGACGAGTCCGGCGGAGGGAACACAGGGCCGTAGACAGGGAGAGGAGGAGACGGTAGGAGAGGAACAGACGCAGGGTCAGGGGATGGAAGGCCGAGCAGGCGAAGGGCTGACACCAGCGGGGACTGTTGCTGCGGCGGCACAACACCAACACCGGGACCGCAAGCTGCTCCTCGGCTACCTCTGGGACATTCCACTCCGGCACCCCCAGAAGGAACACCCCCAGAGCCCGAAAACCCCCGAGCACCAGGACCACCACGAGGGCCACCGGGGCAGGCCACAACAGGAACCCCAGAACTAGCACCCACCCCAACGCGGGCACCCCCCGAGTCGACGAACTACTGCTGCGACGGCTGCTGCGGCGGCGGCGGGAACGACAGGTGCGGCGGCGATGGCAGCGGAGACGACGGCTGCAGAGGCTGTGGGGGAGGAGACACCGGTGGAGGGGCAGACGGCGAGGACTGCGCTGCAGGACCACAGGAGTCAGAGGACTCCTCGACCGGGACAACCGACGGGAGAGGGGTGACGTGGGACACACCAGAGGGGGCAGGACGGGGAGGGGGAGGGGGGAGGGGCAGGGACCACCGGGGAAGGAGTGACCAGGAACAGGGGGGGAGTAACCGGGGGACCGCGGTGGGGGAAGCGACGGTAGAAGGAGACGGACTCGTCAAAGGTGGCGTCGCGAGAGTGAAAGAACCGGTGAGACGGCGGGTGGTAGAAGTGCCAGTCGGACGCGTCAAGGGGGAAACCGAGGAAGACGCAGGGAAGGGTGCGGGCAGTGAGCTTGTCCGTGCCAGAGGCGGGCGCGAGGGCCGTGAGGACGGTTGCGGGGGCCAGTTAGGACGGGCGCGGTGGGCGCAGCTAAGACGGGCGCGCGGGCGCGGCTAGGACGGGCGCGGGGTCGACTAGGACGGGCGCGGCCGGCTAGGGCCTAGGGCGGAAGCATGGGCGGGCGGCGGGACCTACCTACTGCTGATACCATCTTAAAACTGAGTAATGAAAATTTAGAGAACCTGGGTACAAGCATACATATCTAAGGGTTGTACTCTCTAAGAGGTGACCCTATACAGTCTATACAAACATTAGATATACTAATATTTGACACATTCAACTCTCAGAAGTCAAGGCTCGGCCAACTTCTTCGGTCCCGAACCACTTCGCGAACCCAAACCTAGACGTGCGGCGCTTCCGTAGCTTTCACCGACCGGACCGCCCCAACCTGTTCGCGTGGTTCTCGGCTAGCTGTGTAAATACCTAGGCCGTCATTTGTATCTACACTCTTGAATCAAGACTCCTTTATTACACTACCTGTTATTAATCTGATTAATTCATAACATTTTCCCTATCGTTTTGGACATCAGCGGGAGGTGCTTCCAGTGGGCTACTCATTGGCCAATGAAATTCCAACAGTCGCAACAAAGCAGGACAGGTCGACTGTTCCCTAGGCTCCGGAAACCAAACTTCGACGTTCTTCGGCAGCCAATCACAGGACTCCGAAAGTCATCACCGCTCGACCACCGTTTGTTCAAAACGGTACCCAAACAAGCCCACTCATACCACCGCTCTTGCCACGCCACCACAACCATCAAGAGGCTAGATCACCCGCCCCAGGCCTGCGATGCCATGCCCGCGATGTCAGCTCATTGCTCCCGTCGCACCAGCTTTCCCGAAACCCTGCGACCAGTATCGTGCCTCCAACGGTGTGGCTTTGGAAGGTTCCGTCAACCTACGATGACGCGACACACCTTCGTCCCTCATTTATCAAGTAACCGTGTCATCCGTCAAGACAGACGTTCCCTTTCGTTTAGTATCGCAAGCTGGAAGCTGAAATCAGACACAGACGAACGCACCCGAGCTAGCAGGGCTTTTCCTTCCAGATCTGTGTGCTAACTTTTTGCATGTCCATCCCTCAGCATCTTCACTTCTAGGTCTACCTATTGCAGTACGAATCTACGTGTTCGATTGCCCACTAGTTGCTAAACTGTTAGGGGTGGATAGTTGGCCTGCAAACTTGTCGAGGTCACCAGCACCTTCTGTCGTCGATTCCTCCGACTTTAATCGTCACAGCCTGAGAAATGGCATCAGCTGGGGGTGCCGCGGCAGCTGTTTCGCCGTTGGCGAAGTATAAGCTAGTGTTTCTCGGAGATCAATCCGTTGGGAAAACAAGCATTATTACACGTTTTATGTACGACAAGTTTGACAACACATATCAGGTGAGCGTTAATCCACCTAGTTTATCCGTTTTGACGAAAGAAAGTATAATCAGTGGCATCACACGACCCTGCCGTGGTCAGTTTTGTACCATTGTCGAAGGCTTCAAAGGAATTAGATTTTAAGTGATTTAGGTTAACGTCTGGTTTCACTCCCGGTTTTTCGTTCCCACGCTCCCTCGTAAAACTTGTTTGAAGTTGCGTATAGGTGAACGTTCTCCGTGTAGTCTAGGTGGTCCAAAAGTAGTATGTATGGATTATGTGTCGTATGCTGTTCCCTGATGCTGTCGGGTGAGGTTACCAGCCGTGGACTTGGTTGGTTGTCTGACGGTCATAATTAATGTCTTCTGTAAACTACAGGCCACTATTGGAATCGACTTTCTGTCTAAGACCATGTACCTTGAAGACCGGACGGTGCGGCTGCAGCTATGGTATGTAGATCACTGATTCGTTTGTTGTTTGCGGTGTCCTATTTATTATTCGCCTAACCACCTTGTCTTCGCGTTTGCAGGGATACAGCTGGGCAAGAGAGGTTCCGCAGTCTAATTCCCAGCTACATCCGAGACTCTTCTGTCGCGGTTGTCGTTTATGACGTGACAAGTACGCAGTTTCTGTGTGATGTTGTTAATGCTTGCTCCTTCCATTGGATTTCGAGCACGTTTTAAATGTTTATCTCTGCTTTTTCTCATTCCTTGTGCAGATCGCGCTTCCTTCTTGAACACAGCTCGGTGGGTGGAAGAGGTTCGCACAGAACGGGGTAGTGACGTCATTATCATGCTGGTAAGTGCGTCGTTTTCCAACATCCTGCATGTGCAATGTGACTGATCACTTATTTAAGACTTCACCTTTTAAGTATCTAAATGCACAGGAAAGAGATTAGTGTTGCGCAACGTTAAAAGCGTTAAGCAATTCACGCAATATCCTCGCATTCCGCGTTCCGCGGTCCGTCTTCACTGGCTATCACTCTCGTCATCTAATGTACAACTGGTTTGAAATCGGTTGTTTCACATTTTGCAGGTTGGGAATAAGACAGATCTTGTTGATAAGAGGTACGATTGATTATTAAACGGCCTGTGCTAAGCTACTTCCATCGTCCGCCTCATTTTCATTCATTGCCTTAGGCAGTTTTGGATGCTATTTCCTGGACGAATTCAGTCACTTATATTCATCAAGTTTGATTTCATCTGCTGTGTTACCTCTGCAGACAAGTGTCCATTGAGGAGGGAGAGGCCAAGGCCCGTGATCTGAATGTTATGTTCATTGAGACCAGTGCAAAGGCGGGCTTTAACATTAAGGTGAGGGGAAAGCTTGTTAGCAACTCTGATTTATTTACTAAGGCCAATCAACAAACCCGTCCTCCCCATCTCCTGCCCCCCCACGCCCCCGCCCCAGCCCTCCCCCCCCCCGTCCCTCCATTACTTCTCGCCCTTTCTCCCCCTCCCTACCCTCTCTCATTCACTTGCACTCGCAATTGACCCCCCCCTCTCTCTCCTCTCCCACCAAGCACACCATCCTCCTAGTCCCACATTCTGTTCTCATGCCATTCGTGTCTGTTAGCCATCTTCACCCGTGGTAGCCATTTTGAGTATCGTCACCTCATCAGCTTCCGTTTTGCTTTGCTTTGCTTTCTCTGCCTCGTCTCCTTGCTTCAGGCTCTGTTCCGTAAGATAGCAGCTGCTTTGCCAGGCATGGAGGCGCTGTCAGCCACAAAGCAGCAGGAGGACTTGGTGGATGTCAAGCTTACATCAGCCTCTAGTCAGAGCGCAGCTGACAAGGTGGCTGCGGCCACGTGCTCATGCTAGGCAAATGTACTCGATTGATTCATTCGTGCAAGAGGTGCTGCAGAAGACTACCGATATAGTATCTCTACGGGTCTCTGAGTGACTCTGGTGATGCAATTGCTGGTCTAAGGTGTGGGTGAAGATATGATGGGGACATATTTTCTACGTTTTTAGTGTTCCTTCTTACATGACGTATAGATCATAACTAGTCCTCCACATTTCCGTATGTCCACTCTTCGATTATCATAGCGACCATGTGACTCTCTATCCATAACAAGTACCCATTCTCTGAGAGGAGTGATCCAGGCACACTTCAGTTCAAATGTACTGTCTGAAGAAGCAGGTCGGTTTATATCGGGTCTACTTTTGTTCATCCATCTTGTGCTGTTAGCCAACTCCGATTGAATCCCACGCTTGACTATCTCACGCGTATTGGGTGACAGATAGATGGCATTGCTTTGGAGTGCTGGCCTGGCTGCCGTGCCGTGACGATAGACGGCATCCTTAGAATCTCAGCCTGAAGTCGCGCAGGCAGTGCGAGCCGTCTCAGAGTCTACGACTCCAGTTCCAGCACTACCAAAGCCTGCGAATCTACACACTTGCGATTCAGGCGGTTGCCGTTTCCAGAGCGAAAGCGCATCATGTTGTCGGAACAGGAGGCGGCGGTGTACGATCGGCAGATCAGGGTGTGGGGAGTGGAGGCCCAGCAGAGGTGCGACCCTCTTGGTAACAGAGAGGCCATATCTCGCGAGCCAGGTCTTGTGTGACCCCCGTTTCGTCGTTTCGTTAGCGTCCGGGGCTATTGTGTGACGCGCGTGGATCGGTGATCTTGTTTGCTTCGTCGGCTGACGCATTCGTATTTCCATATCGAGTCGTTGCCTCTATGGCCACCTCTACGACTGCAATTCTGACGGCTGTACCTAAGGCGCTTTCCTAATGGTTGCCTGTGAATGAGATTTCCACGCTTGCCTCGAAACTCGCTCTTCTCCCCACCCATTTCTCCGCTTTCCCTTATTTCCTCTCTTTCTCAATCCTACGTCTTGTCTTCGTTCTTTCCCTCCCTCGCTCCCTCGCTCCCTCTCTCCCTCCACTCGCCCTTCCTTCCCTGCCGTTACAGGATCGGCTCTGCTCGTCTGCTGGTGATCGGCATGTCGGCGGTGATGGCAGAGGTGAGTGGAATGGAGGGGGGAAGAGTGTGGGGAGAAAAGAAGGGCGGATGGAGACGGTTGGGGAAGGCGGAGGAGGGAGCGGGGTGGGCGGAACTAGAGTGGGGGAGAGAGAGATCAAGGCTTGGAAATGACCTTTCAGTGTTGAATATTCATTCTCTCTCAAACGGATAATATTTTTTCGTGTTTTCGCTTCTTCCCTCCCACCCTCCTCTCTCCCCCTGCCTCCTTATCCCACCCCCTTCTCCCTCCCTCCCTCCATCCCCCCTCCAATCATTCCCTTTTTTACCCGCGCCCACGTCCCCACCAGACGTGCAAGAACCTAGTTTTTCTAGCGGGGGTGGGCTCGCTCACTCTGCAAGCAGACCTCGACTCCTTCTCCCTCCCTATCCCCCTCCTCCCTCCAATTATCCCCTTTCTGACCCGCTCTCACATCCCCTTCAGACGTGCAAGAACCTGGTGCTAGCGGGGGTGGGCTCGCTCACTCTTCTGGACGCCGGCCTGCCTCCCACCCAGGCAGACCTCGACTCCAACTTCCTCCTCCGCTTCTCCTCTGCTGTTCCGCCCGCAACAGCCGCAGCTGCAGGCGCAGCACAGGTGGCAGCAGGAGGAGATGCAGCAGCAGCAGGAGGAGATGCAGCAGCAGCAGGAGGGGATGGGGAGGGGGGAGAGAGGGATGGCATGTCGGTGGCTCAGGCGTGTGCGAAAGCTCTGCAGGACTTCAACCCGTTTGTGACCGTCAAGACGGTGCCAGGTGAGTGTGGGTGCTCTGCACTGCAGCACATCCACTAGTCCTTGCCATTCTGACTTACGACTGTGCTGGGCTTGTGATTTCCTGGTTCATCTATGTGTGCTCTGGCCTCCATGTGCGCACTCTACTTGCATACACGTGTGCATGGATGAGTGCATGTGATCATGTGTGCATGCGATCATGTGTGCATGTCTGCTTGTGTGCATATGTGCATGCATGCATGCATGTTTGCATCTGATCATGTGATCATGTGTGCATGTGTGCATGGGAGCAGGCAGTCTGGAGGCCATGGCAGCATCGCCCCTGAAGTCGCTAGACCTTCCCATGGATGACATCGACGCAGTTCTCCTCGCACGCTGCGACCAGCACATGCAGGTGGCTATATTTGAGGTGCCTAAACAGTGCACGTGTATGTGGCAGCGCATGAAGGGGCAGCACATGCAGGTGGCAGCACATGCAAGTGGCAGCACATGCAGGTGGCAGCACATGCAGGTGGCAGCACATGCAGGTGGCAGCACATTCAAGTGGCAGCACATGCAGGTGGCAGCATATGCAGGTGGCAGCACATGTAGGTGGCAGCACATGCAGGTGGCAGCACATGCAGGTGGCAGCACATGCAGGTGGCAGCACATGCAGGTGGCAGCACATGCAGGTGGCAGCACATGCAGGTGGCAGCACATGCAGGTGGCAGCACATGCAGGTGGCAGCAGCTCCTTTCATCTCCTCTTATTGCTGCTAGTAGCACAATCCGTTTCCTGCCATTCCGCTTTGTCCATGCCTTTGCTCTCACCTTTCTTTCTCCAGTCCATGCCTGCATGCCATGCCCCCGCCTTCCCTCTCCCATCCGCGTCCCCCGTGCATCTACCCCCCACCATGGCCATCAGGAGCGAGTGGACGCGGCATGCAGAGCGAGGCAGCCCGCCCCAGTTGCCTTCTTCTACATGGCTGTGCGGGGCCCGTGCGGCCGCATCATTGCCGACCTATCTGAGCACGACTGCATGGTGGGTCTGTTGGCTTGCGTGGCTTGGTGGATTACTCTCTCACATGCACACACACAGAGGAGCAGTGATAGATTTTTAGCGTTCGAAAAAGCCTCATTACCCTCCTGCTGTGAGGGAACCTGACATAGTCGCTGACCTCAGCGAGCACAACTGCATGTGAGGGTTTTTTGGAGAAGTCTGCAACTGAGAATTCTCGTATGTGGAGGTGGGTACTTGTACGGAGGATTGACCACAACCGTCTGGTCTGGCCACCCCATGCTTCGCCGCCCACCCAATCCTCTGTCTTTGCATTCTGCGCTACCCTCTCCCTCTCCCCTCCGGTGTCTCCCTGTCGTTTGATTTTCTCCCCTTGGAACCTTTTTGCGATGTCGCTTGTCTGTTGGCTCGATTCGACATCCGTCTTTTCCTGCCACTGTTCGTCTTAGGTCCATCCATCTGCTCTCTCAAGAGTCAAGCCCCTTCCAAACTATTCTTACGCTTCCCGCCCCCTCCTACCACCCTTCTCTCGCCTCACCCTTCCCTCCTACGGTCCTACCCCTTTTCTTTTCTCCTGCTACCGCATCTCTCCTCCTGTCCGTTCCTTCCTTGGCCCCCGCCCTCGTGGCAACAGTATCAGAAGGTGGATGAGCATGTCGCCTTGCACATCCCTTACCTATCCGCCTCTCAAGGTTTGGCTCTTCTTGAGGCGCCTAAAAAGTCCTCCCACCTCGTCCTTCCTCCGACCGCATCTCTCCACCCGCCCCTGTCCTGCCCGCCACAGTATCAGAAGGTGGAAGAGCACATCGCCCTGCACATCTCCTACCCGCCACTCAAGGTCCGGCTCTTCTTCACCCGCTGCTCGCCTGCTGTTTCGCTCCCGATTCTTCCTGTCTCGCGTCTTGCTGTCTCCTTCTCTCGCTGCTTTCCTTCCTGCTCCTAAGTTGCACCGGTAGTTCATGCTTTTGAGTTGGGCATGTTTTATGAGAACCCCCTCTGTTGCAACCCTGGGGTGTTGCTTCTGTGTTGCTTTTGTGAGCTTATGCAGCAATATACGGAATCTTGTGCCCGTCTGTTTCGTTGGCTGTGTCTGCATTCGTCTGACTCGCTACCTAACCGTTGCTTCCTTGCCCTCTCTTTCTGGCATGACACGGGAATGTGTGAATGCACGGGTGACAATGTTCACATCACATCAATTCCACCTCTTCCACGATTGCTTACATCAATGCCATCGACATCATCACTACCATCACCACCACCACCACCACAACCATCATCATGATCATGATCATGATCATGTATTGGCGTGACCAGGAGGTGGTTTCGACTCCATGGTCCAAGCTACCCAAGTACACACCACCATCTCACTTTGCGTTTCAAGGTGCAAAACCCTGGTCTTCTCTCATCGCCTGCCATATTTCGCACCCTTTCGTCTGCCATGCCATGCCATGTCATGCCATGCCATGACATTCTTTCCCATGCCATTCTCATCCCTTTTCAAAAGGTCCATCTCAAGCTCTTGTTTGCTATCTCCGCGCAGCCCTCGCCGCTATCTCCTCTCACTCCATCACCTCACAACTTCACATATTTCACCCCTCACTCCCCGCACTTCTCCCTCCCTTCCCCTCCCCCCTCTCTAACCCCCCCACTCTCCCCCTCTCCCCTTCGCCCCGCCCCTCTGCCCATTGCACCCATGTTCAACTGATCCCCCCCATGGTCAGCCATGGAGGACTATGAAGCACGGGAGAAGCGGCCAGTGGGGCAGCCGTACGACGAGGCGAGTGTGGAGGGGGTGCTCGCACTGGCACAGGACAAGGGCCAGGGCTCGCCTGTAAGCCACACACGCCCGCCACTTGCCCCTTCTCACTCTGTCACGCTGTCACCCTGTCCCTTTGTTGCTCGGTCTGTTTGCACACTTAAGTGGCCCCCCAGGCATGCCATCGCGTGCAGGAACCCCATGTGCAGTGCCTCATTCGCCTCACGGCTGTTTCTGAGGCGCCTCATAAAACCTCTGTCCCCCGTCCTCCCCCCCGCAGGCGTGCCATCGTCTGCAGGAGCCCCACGTGCAGCGCCTCATTCGCCTCATGGCTGCGGCAGGCGCCTCTGAGCTGCCGGCTGTGGCTGCCATAGTGGGGGGCATCGCCGCTCAGGTGTGTAGAGGCAGCGCCGCGTCGCTCCCACACTGCTGGGCTCTGGTGCTTGGAAAGCGGGTTCTGTTTCTTAGGTGCCTCAGAAACAGGCAGTGCTCCCATGCTGCTGGGCTGGGGGGTTTGGGGTTCGGGGCAGGGAGAGGGGTTAGAAGGGTGAAGAGGGATCTGTGTCTGCTGATTAAGTGTTGAAAGTCCACAAGGATGGGTGAGGGGAGGGGGAGGGGGAGGGCGAGGTGGAGAGTGGCTGTGTGCATGCTTTCATAAGTCCTGCAAAGATGAGTGGCAAGCAATTTCCTGTGTGATGAGTGGCTCTTCCCCACCCCCTCCAGCTCATTTTCTGCTCTTCTGTAACTCTTGTGCTTTGGCCTGCCTTCGCTACCCCAACCTTCCCCCCAACAACCCCCCTAATTCACGCATGCACACATGTGGCGCGTGTGCACACACACACACATACACACACGCGCACGCACACACACCCACACACACTCTGCTGCCATGGTCGTGACCCCCCTTATGTGGTCCCTGCCCCCTGCTGCCCACACACGGCGCGCTGTGGCTCCCTTTTTTGCAGGAGGTGGTGAGGGCCATATCGCGCAAGGGACAGCCCATGAACAACCTCTTCCACTTCGACTCACTCTCACTCAACGGGGTCATCTCTCAAGTGCCCCCTGCTCCATCGCCTTCCACCGCTGCTGCTACTGTTGTTGATGCACCTGCTGCCAATGCGGTTGAAGAAGTCATGTGAAACCCACCTATGACTTTTTTTCTGTTCACCCCTTCCTAGGCTCCTCAATGGTATGGCATAGCGTCTGCTGAAAAGCGAGTGGATTTTCCAGGGCTCTGAAAAGATTTTTGTCTTGATTGGCTAGTGCAGGCTTCCAACTGGTAGCATGCGACCCTAATGGCTATGTAGTAACAATAATAATAAAAGTTGATACTCAGAAATGTTGATTTCATACGCTTCCTGTATAAATATGCATGGCTGAGACGTCGGGTTCCTAACGTGTCTCCGATAACCCGTTCTGACTTTCGCTAATTACCCAACATGCGCACCGCGACTAGGGTTTCGTTTGGCGCCTCCGGACAAAAACATCAGCATGGCGGGTTGGAGCCTGGGAGGGAAGAGGCAAGGGGAGGGGAGGGAAAATGGTTTGGGAATTCGTTTGGGAACTTGGGGGAGGAGGTTAGGGAGGGAGCTTTTTTCCGCGCTGATCTGCTGCTGTTCGTCCCTCTGGACTCCAGTCAAGGCGGAAATCGAATCGCGCGGCGTGAGGGAATTGAAGCGAAGCGAGCAGAGCCACCAAGCCAAGAAACTCGCACTGTACCGAACAAAACCACACACGAGACCACACCACCGCCACCATGTTCGGGAATTCGTCTGATGAGGTGTGAGTTGCGTTGTATCATCAACTGGGCTCCTTTCCACTAGTTCGAGGTTAGTTGGTCTCGGCTTGGCGCTCCAGCCACCATGTATTGTGAAAATGCTCCTGGAAGACCTGAGTGCACTACTTGACGAGCGAGGCTGGCAGAATTCTAGAGCCTGGCAGGCACACCCATTCCGTTCCGTCGTGCACTGCTTGACGAGCAAGAGGACGTGCTCCGTTGCGTCTTGTGAGAGGGTGGCCTAGGATCGTCGGCGGGACGGTCAGCACAACCCTTCAAGTTTTTCTACCTAGAATTGCTTCTTCCCTTTCCACTGGATGACTGGATGATCCGTTTCCCAGCAGCTGCGAGCTACTTATTAGCTGCTTGATTCGGAGTTCCCCCCCTCCTCCTGTGATCAGCACACTTTCGCCACCTTTACCTCTCACTAAGCCCCTTTACACAAGCGAGGGTTAGCTTATAGTAAGCTGCTAGACCTCGACGGGGATATGAGTCGTAATAGTCGAAACAAATCCATGTCTCTAGACCGGATACCTCCCCACACAACCCTTCTTGTCCTACTCGTCGCCGGTTCGCTGTTTTCCGCGGGCGCGCAAAAGTACCCTCCGATCGTCAAGTCCCAGCTAGCCGTCATGCTGGCCGTCAAGTCCGCGCTGGGCGGCAGCTTCGACGGCGCGGACACCTGGACGGCGGCGACGCCGTGCAACATGTGGTACGGCGTCACGTGCTCGCCACGTGGCGAGGTGCTGCAGATCATGCTCATGTCCTCGAACCTTCGTGGAACCATCCCGAAGCAGATCGCGAATCTCACCACCCTTAACTTCCTCGATCTCTCAAATAACGCGCTTCGCGGCCCCATACCGCCGCAACTCGCGCTTCTACCCAACCTAGTCACCCTTCAATTGGGCAACAACCAGCTATCCAGCTCCATTCCACAATCGTTTTCCCGCCTCCGTAATCTCAAATTCCTCGACCTGGGGCGGAACCAGCTGAGCGGAAAGATCCCCGCGGCGCTGGGCAAGCTCGGCGCGCTTCAGATTCTGTTACTAGATGGTAACCAGCTCGAGGGGTCGCTTCCTGGGAGCCTGGCGGCTTTAAATCAGCTGAAGCAGTTTAGCGTGGCGAATAATCGACTCAGCGGGCTGGTCCCCACGGGGTATCGCAACGGCATGCGAAGCATTCGCCAGTTTTCGCTGGCGAATAATCTGTTCACGGGCACAACTGCCGGGCTGCCCCCGATGCCGCTCGACGCTGAATACGGGTCGTTGGATATCAGCAAGAACTTTTTTTACGGGCTGCCCCGGTTCAAGCTAGCTGCGAGCACGACCAGCAGCAGCAGCGGCGGCGTAAGCAGGGCCGCGTGTCCTTCCGCCTCCGCGGACGTGCGCAAGCGCGCGCAGTACGCGGGGAACTGCTTTGCGGGCACGGGCAGCTGCAAGGGGGACGCGCCGCAGCGCAGCGACGGCGCGTGCGGGGGGTTCTGCCGCACGGAGCGCAGCCTGCGCGCGGGGAAGACGCAGTGCGGGGGCGCGGGGCTATGCGTGTGGTCCTCTGGTCCCCCAAAGGCGCAGGCGGTAAAATGCTTTTGCGAAAAGGGGTTCGGGCCAGACCCGTTATCAGCATACCAGGTTTGCAAACGAGGGCTCACGAATCCCACCACTTATTTCGAGAAGCGTAAGAAGAAGCAAACGGCCAAGGCGCAAATCGCAGGCCCCCCTGCTGCTCCCCAGCAGTCCGGATCTCCCCCTGGCCCAGCGGGGAACAGCAGCAGTGGCGCTAGTGGTGGTAGCACCGGCGGGCAGGGTAATGGCAGTGGGAGCAGCAGCAGCAGCAGTGGCGGCGGCGGCACAGGTGGTGCTGGCGACAGCAAGAGCACGGGCGACGGCAGCACAGAGATCAGCAGCAACAGCAGCAGCAGCGGCAGCCCGTTGTTTCCTGCCACCGGCCTACCCAAATGAGCTGGTGGGGCGTTTGCAAGTTGGGTTGAGCAGCAGTGACCGAACCCCACCCCCTTCCCGGCGCCTTCGGCCTCTCCACCTGTCGTCAGTTGACAGCTGTATGCCAGCTGCCCGATGGGAAGTTGGGTTGAGGGGGGAAGGGGGTGGTGGTCACATCTCACATCTGACATCGTACAGCGGACCACCCTATAGCAGATACGGTAGCAGACAGCAGGACAGGGCGATGGAGAGCAGCACGCTGCTTGCCTCAAGCAGCAAAGCAATCGGATATGGTCGCCTCATTCCATCCATCCCATGGGGCAGCACCGCACACACACACACACACACACACACACACACACACACACACACACACACACACACACACACACGCACACACACACACACACATGCACACACACACACGCACACGCACACACACACACACACACAAACACACACACACACTCTCACACACACACACACAGAGCCCAGCTTCACGCGAGCTCTCCTGCTCCCTTTCAGTCTACACAGGTCCTTGTTCGACCCCCATGCCGCCCTGTGCAAGTTCCTGGTTCCGTGAGAGTCCATTAGTCACTGCCATGATGTATATGATGTAGTAGTGCAGAATTATCTTGGCACGTAGATAGTACACAGGTATCTATGGCACTAATCTGTCCATACTGCCAGATACTGACAGTGTTATCTAGTGTCGAGAAGAAGCAGCAAGTAAAGCCTGAATTCATGAATTCCTAATTCAGATAGTGGATCTAAAGAGAGGATCCTACCCACCTACACACTGAAGGAGTCCTGGTACACGAAGGCACGCGGCCACTGTACACAGTGACACACGGCCACTGTAGATCAAGCTAGAGCTCCGCTACTGGGAGCTCCATCCCTGGGGTTAGGAGTGCATGTTAGGTGAGTGCAATGGGCAGACACAGGGGGCTCATTGGTGTGGGGGTCCAGATTGCGAGCCGTGAAAGGCACCTGTAACTTGTTGGGACTCCAACACCTGCTTCTTCGCCTGCTCCATCTGCAAATAAACCGCATGCCCGCATGCCCCCATGCACACATGCACACAACAACATGCCCAGATGCATCGTACATGTGCATCGCCAAGGGCACATGAAGGGTCGGGAGATGCGAGGGAGGAAGACGACAATGCCATAGAACAAGCAACGTGTCACACAGAGTGAAGCTTCTCAAATCGATTTCCTCTCACTCCCCCCTTGGTGCCACTTTCCAGTCGACTCAACAACCGTCCCAACCACGTCTGCCTGCCACTCACAGATTCAATCAACAGGGTACCACCTGTTGTGCCATCACCAAACCCCCCTTTACAGAAACTGCACACCCACCCCCCCCCTTCCCCACCCCCCCCCCTTCCCCACCCCCCCCTTCCCCACCCCCCCCCTTCCCCACCCCCCCCTTCCCCACCCCCCCCTTCCCCACCCCCCCTTCCCCACCCCACCCCTTCCCCACCCCCCCCTTCCCCACCCCCCCCCTTCCCCACCCCACCCCACATGCACACACAAGCCAAAGCAGACGCCCATCCATCCATGGGTCTCTGTGAGGCAAAGCAAAGCAAAGCAAAGGCAAGGCAAGGCAAGGCAAAGCAAAGCAAAGCGCCCATGTGTGCGCGAGTGCTCACAAGTCGAATGGCCTCCTTGACTGCCTGTGCCTGCTGCCTCCTGCCCTCCATGCGCATCAACGCCACCACCCTCTCCGGCCCACCGCCACCGCCACCCGCTGCCACACCTGCCGCCATGCCCGCTGCTTCCCTGCATGCCCGCACAGGTTTGTTGGTACGGGCAGGGCAGACAGGCAAGGGTTGGGGGGGGGTGGGGGGGAGAGAGGAGGGATGGCAGGCATGGGAGATGCACTGTGTATAATATGGGTCGACTCAAACTCTGGCGGGACAGGTTGGCATGGGCAGATAGGCAAAGGGGAGAGAGTATGGCAGGCGTGGGAGATGTACGAGTTTTGGGCACTGGAGTTGAGAGAGCTCATGTGGAACACAGGGAAATAGGAGAGGAGGAAACGGAGCAAGGAGAGTGGGGATCCGGGGGAAGGAGATGGGGTCCGGGGGAGAAGAGATGGGGGGCCGGGGGGAGGGCGCGGGTGGATGGGTGGATGTGTGGGTGGGGGGAGGGAGGGGGGGGGAGACGTTGGGGGGGAGAGGGCGGGTGTTGATACTTTTGTAGTGTTGTTGGCAGGCGGTTGACTTGGAGCTCAAGTTGAAGGCGGGCTGCACAGGCGAATGCAGCGTTGAGCTGGAACGCGCCCAAGGGCAGGGAAGGAGGGAGGGAAGGGAGGGAAGGGAGGGAAGGGAGGGAAGGGAGGGGACCAGGACAAGCAGGCTCAGGGTTTCAAATTTCGGGTACCAGGCAAAGAGAGCGGAGAAAGAGCGTGCCGGGAAAAAAGCGTAGAAAGAGCTCGGCGAAGGGGAAGCAAATGGAGCTGGAGGAGGTGAGTGAGCCAAGCGGGATGCGGGGGGAAAGTGAGGATTGGAGTGGGGAGGGATGCGATGGGAGGGGGGAGCGCGCTGGCACCAGGAGGATAGGCGCCAAAAGGGAGTGAGGGAGTGAGGGAGGGAGGGAGAGAGTGAGAGAGTGCAGCATACCTGCAGATACCAATGCAGCAATGCGGCATACCTGGGCCTCGTCCACGAGTGATTTATGAGAATTCTAAGAAATGACTCCATTCTTGCAGATAGCAATGCGGCAATGCAGCATATACCTGGGCCTCGTCCATGATGTCCTCTAGGTGACTTTTGAGTCGACTCAAAAGTCACATGCAGCATACCTGGGCCTCGTCCATGATGTCCTCTAGCTCCTCCTGTGTAAAAGGTGTCGTCGCCCGTGCCATGGGGGATGCCAGGGGAAATGGGGCAATGCGGTAGTAGGGGTGTGCTTGGGCGAGTGAGGCCAGAAAGCAGTTGGAGAGAGAACAGGCGACGATCGGGGCGTGTGCTTCGGCGAGTGAGTAAGTGTGTGGACGGGCATGCATGCATGTGTGTGTGTGTGTGCGAGAGAGAAGGGAGGAGGGAAACAGGAAGGGCGAGGAGTGAAGGAGAGATGGGCAGATGATGGTTGCGGTAAAGAGAAGAAGGAATGTGTCTGGGCGTGCCGCACCTGTGAGTACTGCACCCACTTGTCAATGATCTGCAACCACCACCACATAGCTCACACTCACGCCCACACACACACCCACACCCACACACACACCCACACCCACACACACCCACACACACACACCCACACATACACCCACACACACACCCACACCCACACACACCCACACACACACCCACACCCACACACACCCACACCCACACCCACACACACACACACACCCACACCCACACACACCCACACACCCACACACACCCTAACACACCCACTCACACCCACACCCGCGCACAACCACACAAAACCACACACAACCGCACATAACGACACACACGCCACACAATCACACACCCCGCGTTTACACGCCCCTCATTCACACACCCCCCAGTCAAACCCCCGTCACACATCTCAGTTACACACTCTCACTCACACAACTTCATTCACACACCCCTCATCCACACACCCCTCACTCACGCCACATCCATCTCCTTCCCCCCTCCATCCGCGCTTTCCCCCACTCCCCCCATTGAGCAGGACCAGGAGGAGGGTACAGGCAGAAAGAGAAACATTAGGGCGCTCATCACGGCTTCGTGCTATCAGCACTCCAGGCCTTCCTGCGTGAGGAGTCTATTTTTGAGGCGCCTCAAAAATGGACTCATCAGCACTCCAGGCCTTCTGCAAATGTTGGAAACCAACCATTCCAAACATTTGCGGAAGGCCTGCCTTTTGGGAAAAAAACATTCCAAACACACGACTGGTCTCCAACTTTCTCGGAAGAACTAAACCCGGATGACACGAGGCCGTGAATATGCCGTGAGGTTTCCGTTACGCACAGAAGCGAGGACACAGACGGGAGAGCAGAAGAAGAGTGCACATGTGATGTGATGTGATGTGATGTGATGTGATGTGATGTGCCGGGAAATGGTAAGGGGGGAAAAGACAGCTTTATGCGCTGGTATGGGAAAAGAGCGATAGATGAGAGGTACGGATAACACCTGCTGATTTCCTTCGCCCTCTCGCCCTCTCGCCCTCTCCCCCTCTCCCCCTCTCCCCCTCTCACCCTCTCACCCTCCCGCCTCTCGCCCTCTCACCCTCTCGCCCTCTCGCCCTCCCTCTCGCCCTCTCGCCCTCTCGCCCTCTTGCCCTCTCGCCCTCTCGCCCCCGCACTCTCTCGTTCAGGCGTGCAGCAGCGCGCACCTGGTGCAGCAGCGCGCCCAGTTCCTCCCCTCGCTGCGCCTCGGCGTGCGACTGCGACGGCGACGACCGCAGCGCCACGTCCTGGGGAGGGCGGAGGGGGGAAAAAGAGCGGCGCGCGGCTTCAGCGAGGGGCGAGGAAGCGAACGACGAGGCTAATTTTCGAGAACTGTTATAGAGGGCGTTGCCGCATAGAGGGCGACGGCGGGTGGGCGTGGGCCAGAATGGGATACATAGAGGAAGAATACGTAGAGGAAGAATACGTAGAGGAAGAATACGTAGAGGAAGAATACGTAGAGGAAGAATACGTAGAGGAAGAATACATAGAGGAAAAATACGTAGAGGAAGAATACGTAGAGGAAGAATACGTAGAGGAAGAATACGTAGAGGAAGAATACGTAGAGGAAGAATACGTAGAGGAAGAATACGTAGAGGAAGAATACGTAGAGGAAGAATACGTAGAGGAAGAATACGTAGAGGAAGAATACGTAGAGGAAGAATACGTAGAGGAAGAATACGTAGAGGAAGAATACGTAGAGGAAGAATACGTAGAGGAAGAATACGTAGAGGAAGAATACGTAGAGGAAGAATACATAGAGGAAGAATACGTAGAGGAAGAATACGTAGAGGGAGAATACGTAGAGGAAGAATACGTAGAGGAAGAATACGTAGAGGAAGAATACGTAGAGGAAGAATACGTAGAGGAAGAATACGTAGAGGAAGAATAGAGGAAGAATACGTAGAGGAAGAATACGTAGAGGAAGAATACGTAGAGGAAGAATACGTAGAGGAAGAATACGTAGAAGAATACGTAGAGGAAGAATACGTAGAGGAAGAATACGTAGAGGAAGAATACGTAGAGGAAGAATACGTAGAGGAAGAATACGTAGAGGAAGAATACGTAGAGGAAGAATACGTAGAGGAAGAATACGTAGAGGAAGAATACGTAGAGGAAGAATACGTAGAGGAAGAATACGTAGAGGAAGAATACGTAGAGGAAGAATACGTAGAGGAAGAATACGTAGAGGAAGAATACGTAGAGGAAGAATACGTAGAGGAAGAATACGTAGAGGAAGAATACGTAGAGGAAAGAATACGTAGAGGAAGAATACGTAGAGGAAGAATACGTAGAGGAAGAATACGTAGAGGAAGAATACGTAGAGGAAGAATACGTAGAGGAAGAATACGTAGAGGAAGAATACGTAGAGGAAGAATACGTAGAGGAAGAATACGTAGAGGAAGAATACGTAGAGGAGAATACGTAGAGGAAGAATACGTAGAGGGAAGAATACGTAGAGGAAGAATACGTAGAGAGAAAAAGGAAGAATACGTAGAGGAAGAATACGTAGAGGAAGAATACGTAGAGGAAGAATACGTAGAGGAAGAATACGTAGAGGAAGAATACGTAGAGGAAGAATACGTAGAGGAAGAATACGTAGAGGAAGAATACGTAGAGGAAGAATACGTAGAGGAAGAATACGTAGAGGAAGAATACGTAGAGGAAGAATACGTAGAGGAAGATACGTAGAGGAAGAATACGTAGAGGAAGAATACGTAGAGGAAGAATACGTAGAGGAAGAATACGTAGAGGAAGAATACGTAGAGGAAGAATACGTAGAGGGAGAATACGTAGAGGAAGAATACGTAGAGGAAGAATACGTAGAGGAAGAATACGTAGAGGAAGAATACGTAGAGGAAGAATACGTAGAGGAAGAATACGTAGAGGAAGAATACGTAGAGGGAAGAATACGTAGAGGAAGAATACGTAGAGGAAGAATACGTAGAGGAAGAATACGTAGAGGAAGAATACGTAGAGGAAGAATACGTAGAGGAAGAATACGTAGAGGAAGAATACGTAGAGGAAGAATACGTAGAGGAAGAATACGTAGAGGAAGAATACGTAGAGGAAGAATACGTAGAGGAAAGAATACGTAGAGGAAGAATACGTAGAGGAAGAATACGTAGAGGAAGAATACGTAGAGGAAGAATACGTAGAGGAAGAATACGTAGAGGAAGAATACGTAGAGGAAGAATACGTAGAGGAAGAATACGTAGAGGAAGAATACGTAGAGGAAGAATACGTAGAGGAAGAATACGTAGAGGAAGAATACGTAGAGGAAGAATACGTAGAGGGAAGAATACGTAGAGGAAGAATACGTAGAGGAAGAATACGTAGAGGAAGAATACGTAGAGGAAGAATACGTAGAGGAAGAATACGTAGAGGAAGAATACGTAGAGGAAGAATACGTAGAGGAAGAATACGTAGAGGAAGAATACGTAGAGGAAGAATACGTAGAGGAAGAATACGTAGAGGGAGAATACGTAGAGGAAGAATACGTAGAGGAAGAATACGTAGAGGAAGAATACGTAGAGGAAGAATACGTAGAGGAAGAATACGTAGAGGAAGAATACGTAGAGGAAAGAAAAGAATACGTAGAGGAAGAATACGTAGAGGAAGAATACGTAGAGGAAGAATACGTAGAGGGAAGAATACGTAGAGGAAGAATACGTAGAGGAAGAATACGTAGAGGAAGAATACGTAGAGGAAGAATACGTAGAGGAAGAATACGTAGAGGAAGAATACGTAGAGGAAGAATACGTAGAGGAAGAATACGTAGAGGAAGAATACGTAGAGGAAGAATACGTAGAGGAAGAATACGTAGAGGAAGAATACGTAGAGGAAGAATACGTAGAGGAAGAATACGTAGAGGAAGAATACGTAGAGGAAGAATACGTAGAGGAAGAATACGTAGAGGGAAGAATACGTAGAGGAAGAATACGTAGAGGAAGAATACGTAGAGGAAGAATACGTAGAAAATACGTAGAGGAAGAAAGAATACGTAGAGGAAGAATACGTAGAGGAAGAATACGTAGAGGAAAGAATACGTAGAGGAAGAATACGTAGAGGAAGAATACGTAGAGGGAGAATACGTAGAGGAAGAATACGTAGAGGAAGAATACGTAGAGGGAAGAATACGTAGAGGAAGAATACGTAGAGGAAGAATACGTAGAGGAAGAATACGTAGAGGAAGAATACGTAGAGGAAGAATACGTAGAGGGAAGAATACGTAGAGGAAGAATACGTAGAGGAAGAATACGTAGAGGAAGAATACGTAGAGGAAGAATACGTAGAGGAAGAATACGTAGAGGAAGAATACGTAGAGGAAGAATACGTAGAGGAAGAAATACGTAGAGGAAGAATACGTAGAGGAAGAATACGTAGAGGAAGAATACGTAGAGGAAGAATACGTAGAGGAAGAATACGTAGAGGAAGAATACGTAGAGGGAGAATACGTAGAGGAAGAATACGTAGAGGAAGAATACGTAGAGGAAGAATACGTAGAGGAAGAATACGTAGAGGAAGAATACGTAGAGGAAGAATACGTAGAGGAAGAATACGTAGAGGAAGAATACGTAGAGGAAGAATACGTAGAGGAAGAATACGTAGAGGAAGAATACGTAGAGGAAGAATACGTAGAGGAAGAATACGTAGAGGAAGAATACGTAGAGGAAGAATACGTAGAGGAAGAATACGTAGAGGAAGAATACGTAGAGGGAGAATACGTAGAGGAAGAATACGTAGAGGAAAAAAAAAAAAAAAAAAACGTAAGGAAGAATACGTAGAGGAAGAATACGTAGAGGAAGAATACGTAGAGGAAGAATACGTAGAGGAAGAATACGTAGAGGAAGAATACGTAGAGGAAGAATACGTAGAGGAAGAAATACGTAGAGGAAGAAAAAAAAAAGAATACGTAGAGGAAGAATACGTAGAGGAAGAATACGTAGAGGAAGAATACGTAGAGGAAGAATACGTAGAGGAAGAATACGTAGAGGAAGAATACGTAGAGGAAGAATACGTAGAGGAAGAATACGTAGAGGAAGAATACGTAGAGGAAGAATACGTAGAGGAAGAATACGTAGAGGAAGAATACGTAGAGGAAGAATACGTAGAGGAAGAATACGTAGAGGAAGAATACGTAGAGGAAGAATACGTAGAGGAAGAATACGTAGAGGAAGAATACGTAGAGGAAGAATACGTAGAGGAAGAATACGTAGAGGAAGAATACGTAGAGGAAGAATACGTAGAGGAAGAATACGTAGAGGAAGAATACGTAGAGGGAGAATACGTAGAGGAAGAATACGTAGAGGAAGAATACGTAGAGGAAGAATACGTAGAGGAAGAATACGTAGAGGAAGAATACGTAGAGGAAGAATACGTAGAGGAAGAATACGTAGAGGAAGAATACGTAGAGGAAGAATACGTAGAGGAAGAATACGTAGAGGAAGAATACGTAGAGGAAGAATACGTAGAGGAAGAATACGTAGAGGAAGAATACGTAGAGGAAGAATACGTAGAGGAAGAATACGTAGAGGAAGAATACGTAGAGGAAGAATACGTAGAGGAAGAATACGTAGAGGAAGAATACGTAGAGGAAGAATACGTAGAGGAAGAATACGTAGAGGAAGAATACGTAGAGGAAGAATACGTAGAGGAAGAATACGTAGAGGAAGAATACGTAGAGGAAGAATACGTAGAGGAAGAATACGTAGAGGAAGAATACGTAGAGGGAGAATACGTAGAGGAAGAATACGTAGAGGAAGAATACGTAGAGGAAGAATACGTAGAGGAAGAATACGTAGAGGAAGAATACGTAGAGGAAGAATACGTAGAGGAAGAATACGTAGAGGAAGAATACGTAGAGGAAGAATACGTAGAGGGAGAATACGTAGAGGAAGAATACGTAGAGGAAGAATACGTAGAGGAAGAATACGTAGAGGAAGAATACGTAGAGGAAGAATACGTAGAGGAAGAATACGTAGAGGAAGAATACGTAGAGGAAGAATACGTAGAGGAAGAATACGTAGAGGAAGAATACGTAGAGGAAGAATACGTAGAGGAAGAATACGTAGAGGAAGAATACGTAGAGGAAGAATACGTAGAGGAAGAATACGTAGAGGAAGAATACGTAGAGGAAGAATACGTAGAGGAAGAATACGTAGAGGAAGAATACGTAGAGGAACGAGCTGAGTCGAGTCAAAAGTGGGTAGGAGGGATGGGGACAGAGGAATCGAGTACATGGAGGAAGAATACATACATGCGGGGGAGGGCGTTATAAGGGAGGGGAAGCGCACGAAGCGAAGCGAGGCGCAACAACTCACGTGGACACTATTGAGGCGCCTCAAAACTCACGTAGATGCCGTGCGATTGCGCGAGGATCCGGTTGACGGCGGAGCGGAACGACGCCCGCAGCTCGTCCATCGCCGGACACTCGTCGTCAAACCCCGCCGCCGCCTCCAACGGCTCCTCCCGTCCTTCTCGCCCTTCCCGTCTTTCCCGCCCCAGCTGCGCTATTCCGCCTCGCACCTCCGGCCCCTCCGGCCCCTCCTGCCCCTCCCGCAACTCCCGCATCCCCTGCGCCGCTCTGTCTGGTTCCGCCATGTCAATCTCCGCGCCATCGCCCGCCAAGTCTGCCCCCCCCACCCCCCCTTCCCCTCCATCTCGCATCTCCCGGTCCGCGCCCGGCGCTCGGCCAACACGGCCTGCTATTTAGTCGTCTCAAAAGCCGACGCTCGGCCAGACGCCCGCACGGCCGAGAGCAAGGCGTTCGAAAGACAGCGGATAAAAAAAAAGAAAACTTCCGACAGGAAGTTTTTTTTTTTCAGAATTTTCTTCTTCTTCTTTCCTACAGAGAATATAGAGTAAAGTAACACTATCGCAGCCGGCTCCGGATCGCGCGTCGTCAACGACGCAAGGATCGTGTTGCGAGTCGTGACTGGTGAGCCGTGACCCGTCAACGTGACTCGCGCTGAGGGAATAGAGGCAAAGTGAAATCTGAAACGGGACTGTACTCGCATTTGGCGAGGAGGGGCGTATGCTGGTGTGTAGGCTGGAGAGGAAATGGCGGGAAATTAGGGATTTGTTGTACATTTTCACGCAGAACACCAATGCCACAAAAAATATTTATTTTGAAAATTCGGGTTTATTTCAAACATATTAAGCAAGCGAAGTAAAAATCAGCATCACAACAAATAAAGCAGGAATACATGAGAGAAGAAAGGAAAGGGAGCTGAAGCAAACAAAAATTACCATACAAGTGAAGGAGGACACCTCCCCTTCCCCCAACCCTGCCATGGAAAGGCCTGTCTGTATCCAACCATACATCATCCACCCATCCATAGTTCATGCAATATGCAATCATACAACTACTGAAGCGGATGGACGGATTGGTGGCAGTGTACTGTATACATCCCGTCCCATGCCTCTTGGGGAGGCCTAAGGAGGAGCGCGTGTGTGAACGGGGCTACGGCCAGCAGCAGCTGCAACAGCAGCAGCAACAGGAGCGGCAACTGACGCTGCCATGCCGGCTGATTCGGCTAGTACTGCTGACCCTGGTCCGGGCATGAGAGACCGCCACGTTGGCTGCGCGCGCCTCTCTGCAAATTGCGCCTCAATACGTGCCCGTGCCTGTGCTTGTGCCTGTGCTTGTTCTTGTGCCTGCGTGTGTGCCTGTGCCTGCGTGTGTGCGTGTGACTGCGTGTGCGCCTGTGCCTGCGTGTGTGCCTGTGCCTGTGCGAGAGCAGACGGTAAAGCAGTCCATGTGGCACTGGCACAGTCACTGCGGCTTCTCGCCGCTCTGCGGCTGTCAGCCAGCCACTGCTGCTGCTGCTGCTGCTGCCTCCTCTCCACCTCTGCCCCTGCCGATGCTGATCTCCCAACTCCTCCCCCCATCTCCATAGCTGAGGGTGGGAGACGAACCAGAACAGGAGGCTCGGGGTTGCTGGAGGGACCCAGACCAAATGCGGCCCGTGGCAGGTGCAAGGCCGGGCTGGCTATGGCTGTACGATGGTCGGATTGCTGCTGGGAGGACAGCAATGATGCGGATGAGGCAGAGGGATAGGATGCGGAGGAGAGAGATGTGGGAGGGAGAGGGGTGTGCGGCATAGAGAGGGGAGTGTGAGGGAGCACGGATGGGGTGTGAGGGAGAACAGACGGGGTGTGAGGGGCAATGAGGGGTAAAGCAGGAGGCATGGCAGGTAGGTGAGTTGTAGGCAGCATGGTAGCGGCATGGTGATGAGGAGCCGACGGGACAGACCAAGCGTAGGAGGGACGGGGTGGGAAGGATGGAGACGAGGAGGCAGAGGGGCGGGCAGCAATAGGCTTTGCCACGGTGGTGGTGGTGGTTGTTGGTGCAGAGGAGATTGCTTGAGTGGGAGGAGGGTGGTCCGTGGGGGATATGGCAGCAGCAGTGGTGTCATCAGCACAGGAGGACGCATGTGCAGGCACCACCGTGGGAGGAACAGGAGGAGACGGTGTGGACTGATGGACAGGTCTCGGGATCGCATCGTAAAATGGTGGACGGAGACGCAGGGAAGCAGATGCAACAGGAGCAGCAGCAGCAGCAGCTGAGCCTTGCCCCCCTGAGCCTGAAGCTTCTCCGCCCACTCCTGCCACAGGTGTCCTGTGGTGCAGGGCGTCAGCCAGGCTGCGGTGAAGAGGCGACGAGGAGGAGTTGTGAGTGGCAGAGGCAGTGTGAGCACGAGAAGGACTGTGTGGGAGAGGAGGGTTGGGAGGGAATGAAGGGTTGTGCGGGAGAGGAGGGTTGGGCGGGAATGAAGGGTTGTGCGGGAGAGGAGGGTTGGGCGGGAATGAAGGGTTGTGCGGGAGAGGAGGGTTGGGCGGGAATGAAGGGTTGTGCGGGAGAGGAGGGTTGGGCGGGACTGAAGGGTTGTGCGGGAGAGGAGAGGCGCGCGCCCGCTGTGGCGGTGTGCCCAGCAGCCTGACCGCTGCCGCCACATCCGTGGGTCCTTCGGCGCTTGTGCTGCGACTGGCAGTGCCAGCAGCTGTGGTAGCGGCAGTGGCAGCAACGGAAGCAGTGGCAGTAGTGGCAGCAGTGGCAGTAGTAGCAGCAGTGGCAGCAGTGCCAACAATGGCAGCCGTGGCAGTAGTGGCAGCAGTGGCAGCCGTGGCAGTAGTGGCAGCAGTGGCAGCCGTGGCAGTAGTGGCAGTAGTGGCAGGAGTGGTAGGAGCGGCAGCAGCAGCAGTAGCGGCAGCTAAAGAGAGAGAGACGCTCCGCCCTGCTTTCCTGCTTCGTGCCCTGCCCTTTCCTGTAGCTAACAGCTGCAGTGCCTTGCGATCCTCTGACCCACCACCAACAGGAACAGCTGCTGCTGCTGCTGCTGCTGCTGCTGCACCACTGGCTGCTGAAGCAGCACCAGCACCAGCACCAGCAGCACCACCGGCACCACCAGCAGCAGCAGAAGCACCAGAAGCAGCAGCCGCAGCAGCAGCAGCAGTGGCGGCAGCATTGTCCACGGTCCACCTGACAAGGTCCATGCCCTCCCACTTCATCCTGATCACTCTCCTCCGCCACCCATGCCGCTCCGCTGCTGCCTCGTCCACCATCCCAACCCCACCACCTGCATTCCTGGAACCAACCACTCCAGGAGCAGCAGACTCACCCGCGCCACCGACACCACTGCCACCGCTGATACTTCTGCCATAAGCAGCAGCCGGTACAGGAGCAGGCACAGCCGCAGTAACAGCGGCGACACGTGAAGAATCATCAGCAGCAGTTGACATGTGGTCCCCCTCCTTTCTCGCTTCCCCCTCACTGTACTCCACCTCCTCCTCCTCCACCTCCTCCTCGTCTTCCCCTGGTTGGCTCTCATCCGCGCACAACAATGCCGCGCCCTCGTCTGCTGCTGCTGCTGCTGCTACTGCTGCTGATGATACTGCTTCTGCTGCTGCTGTTGCTGTTGCTGCTGGTGCTGCTCCTCGCACATCAAATGCCCCTGCTGCCATCGCTGCTGCAAAGCCTCTTGCTGCGGTTGTGCTGCCGAATCCTCCTCTCACACCTGCTGCTCCTGCTGCTGTTGATATCGTTGCTACTGCCACACCGCTAGCTGCTGCAGCACCACTGGAGATGGCAACTGCTGCTGCTGCTGCTGCAGGTGCACCTGAGCTTGGCTTTCCTCTAACCCGTGCACTAGGAGAGTCCCTGGAGTGACCAGTGAGTGCAGCAGGGGATTTCCTTGTACCAGTTGCTGCTGCAGTTGCTGCTGCAGTTGCCACTGCAGTTGCCGCTGCAGTCGCCGCAGAACCGGAATGTGTGTGAAGCGGCTGCGAGTGAAACGACTGCTGCTGCTGCGAGTGCATGTAAGGGTGTGAAGCATACACGGCGCCTTGCGGCATGCAGCTGAAAGCAGCAGCAGCAGCAGCAGCAGCAGTAGCAGACGCAGCAGCGGAAGCAGCAGCAGCAGAAGCAGCAGCAAAAGCAGCAGAAGAAGAAGCAGAAATAGACACAGACGCAGCAGGAGCGAGGGCAGAGGGCACGGGTCTTAGAGGGCGAGGCGGTTGCACATGGGCATCAGGGGATGGTGCACTGCGCGACGCAGCCAGAGAAGCACCGCCAGTAGTAGCACACGAGGCTACCACTGCAGATGTGACAACAGGGCGTGTGCTTGCAGCAGCAGGGGCTATTGGGGACCGCCTAACAGCTGGAGACCCAGCAGCAGAGCCCCCTGTGGGCGTGATCATGGGGGAGGCAGCGGGGACTCCAGAGCCCCCTGTGGGATTCTGCTTTTGAGTGGACTCAAGGGCAGTGATCATGGGAGAGGAGGCGGGGACGGGATTCCAAGGGTGGGGAAGCATGGGCATGGGTGCATGGGTGGGCATAGGCATGGACGCATGGGTGGGCATGGGCAGGGGCATGGGCACACGCATGGGCATGGGCAGGGAGGTAGAGACCGGTAGGGACAAGGACATGGGTAAAGTTGCAGGCATGGGGATGGGCGGGATGGGCGGAATGGGCGGAATGGGCGGAGCACAGGAGTCGGGAGGGCGGGAGAAGTATGCATGGGGGGGCATGAGGCCCATGGATGGTGGTGGCAGGTGCATGGGGTAGGGCGGCGGCATGCCCCACATGGCGAGAGGGGAGAGCCAGCAGTAGGGCGACGGGGGTGGCAGGCAGAAGGGAGGGACTCCGCCTGGTCCGCCTGCCGCTCCTGCTGCCCCTGCTGCCCCTGCTGCCCCTGCCGCCCCTGCTGCCACTGCTGCCCCTGCGCCTTGTGTTGCCCCTGCCGCTCCTGCTGCCCCTGCCGCTCCTGCTGCCCCTGCTGCCCCTGCTGCCCCTGCCGCCCCTGCTGCCCCTGCTGCACCCGTGACCCCCACAGCTGTTGCTGTCCCTGGCCCTGCTGCTGCCCCTGCTGCTGTGTCTGGTGCTGGCCCTTCAAGAGCGGCTGAGGAAAAAGAGGAAGCAGGGGAGGAAGGAACAGGTGGCGCTGGCACAGGTTGCACTGCTCCTGCTGCTCCTGCTGCTCCTGCTGCTCCTGCTGCTCCTGCTGCTCCTGCTGCCCCACCCTCTGCGGATACCGATGCTGCTCCTGCAGTTGCTGCTGTGGCCAAGGATGGGAGGGGGGCCATTGCTGCACGGATAGGGAAAGGTGGTCCGATATACGGGGCTGGTTTGGGGGAGGGCCGGTGCACCACATACTTCATCTGCTGCTGCTGCTGTTGTTGTTGTTGTTGTTGCTGCTGCTGCTGCTGCTGCTGCTGCTGCTGTTGCTGCTGCTGTTGCTGCTGCTGTTGCTGCTGTTGCTGTTGCTGTTGCTGACGTTGCTGTTGCAACTGTTGCTGCTGTTGCAACTGTTGCTGCTGTTGCTGTTGCTGTTGCTGTTGCTGCTGCTGCTGCTGTTGCTGTCGCTGTTGCTGCTGCTGATATTGCTGTTGCTGTTGCTGTTGCTGTTTCTGTTGCTGCTGTTGATATTGCTGCTGCTGCTGCTGCTGCTGCTGCTGCTGCTGCTGCTGCTGCTGCTGCTGCTGCTGCTGTTGCTGCTGATGCAGATGCAGCATGGGCTGCGGCTGCTGCTGTGGGGGAAGGCTTAGAAGGCGAGATGGAAGAGTGAGCAGCTGTGGCTGGGAGGCAGGCAACGGTGCAGCAGAGACAGGCACACATGATGCTGATGGCACTACTGCTGATGGCACTACTGCGGACGGCACCGCTGAAGGTTGTGCTGATGGCAGCACGGCACTGGGGAGAGCGCCGGAGCCAGATGCAAGCATGGAGACGGACAGTCCAAGCCGAGGCCTTGCATGCGCCTGCACAGGTGAACCTGTAAAGGGCAGCGACGCTGCTGCGGGGACTGAGGGCGGGAGATGCAGAGCGCCTGGTAGCGTCAGTGGGGAGGAGCGTGAGTGGCAAGGCGGAGTGCTTTGCTGGGTGTCCCATGACGCACTGTTAGGAGGCAGGCCAGCACCCATGCTGCCAGCACCCATGCTGCCAGCACCCATGCTGCCAGCAACCATGCTGCCAGCACCCATGCTGCCAGCAACCATGCTGCCAGCACCCATGCTGCCAGCACCCATGCTGCCAACAGGAGCAGCAGAACCAGTGGGGCCAGCAGCAGCAGCAGCAGCAGCATCACGTGCCGACAGCAGCACTCTGCTGCTCCTCTTTAGCTGCCACCCCATCTCCACGCCCCCCTCCTCCCGCCCATCCCTCCCACTCTCACTCTCACTCTCTTTCTCCCCAACCCCTTGCTCCACACCCAGTGCCCCACTGCCCATGACAGGAACCAGCGACACCTGCGACGGCAGCTTCAACTGCAGCCGTAGCCTTGGATCCTCCTCCTCCCCCTCAATCTCTCCCCCCCCCATTCCCACCCCCACCCCCACCCCCACCCCCTCTCCCTGCTCCTGCTGCATCCCCACACTCCCCTCTCTGCCCCGCCCCCCCGAGTGCATCTGCAGCTGCAGCTGTGACAGCACGTTCACCAGCAGCCGAGGCTGGGGCGTCTCTGGACTCATCCCCTTCACCCTTATCCTCTCTCGCAACCCAACGCCTGCCTCATCCGCCTCATCCGCCTCATCTGCCTCGCCTGCTCGCTCTGCCTCTGCCTCCCCCTCTATCTCCCTCTCCTCCTGCTCCTGCTGCCGCTGCTGCTGCTGCTGCTGCTGCTGCTGCTGAGCAAGCAGGTTCGGCCCTTCCGCCTGTCCCAAATGTCCGTCCGGAGCAAGGCCCTGCAGGGAGTGTGAATGTGAATGCGAGTGTGAGTGTGAGTGTAAATGCGAGGAGTGAGCCTCCAGCCATAGATTCAAGCCTCCCGGCGATGATTGCCCAGCCTGCTGCTGCGTCCACCGCTCTTGTTCCTGCTGCTGCTGCTGCTGCTGCTGCTGCTGCTGCTGCTGCTGCTGCTGCTGCAGCATGCCCTGAGGAACAGCCATGACAAAAGCGCCTCCCTGCCCCTGCCCCTGCCCCTGCCCCTGCCCCTGCCTCTGCCTGTGTGATGGTGGCAGCAGCAGTGCGGCAGGGGGGTCCACGAGAAGCTGAGCTGGCATGGCTGCAGCAAGAGGCGCCGCCACATACGGAAGCAGCAGCAGCTGCGGCCGTGCCTCCTGCTCCATCTGCTGCTGAGGCCGGTGCTGCAGGTGCTGCTGCTTCTGCTGCTGCTGCTGATGGTGATGATGGTGCTGCTGGTGGCGATGCTGGTGGCGATGCTGGTGGTGATGCTGGTGGTGCTGATGGTGGTGCTGATGGTGGCTCTTTATAGTTGCTTCTGAAGCAGAAGGCATGGACGAAGCAGCCTCTTGCAATCTTGCTGCTCCCACAGCCTCGTGACTGCATGCTGCTGATGCCATAATAGCGCCCACTGCTCCAGATGAAGCACATGCTGCACTTGCTGCACCTGCTGCACTTGTTCCAAGTGCCAGCTCAAACCCCACCCCTGTCTCTCGCTCCGTGCTTGACCCTAGCACCAACGATGGCCTTCCTCCTGGTCCTGGTCCTGCTCCTGCTCCTGCTGCTGCTCCTGCTCCTGCTCCTGCTGCTCCTGCTGCTGCTGCTGCTCCTCTCCCTCCCGCATCAGACCCACCTACTACACAGACGCCACTTGACAGTCTATGTGCACCCTTCTCCCCTCCTCTCTGCCGCACCCCTTCCGCCGGCAATCCCTCTGCCTCTTGTCTGGCAGGTTGAATGACCAAGGGCCTAAAGCCGCCCGTGCCTTCATGCGGAGGCAGGCTGGGAACCGAAACACCAGCAGCAGCAGCAGCAGCAGCAGGAGGAGGAGGAGGAGCAGGGGAAAGCTCAACAGGTACCACTGTGCTAACGACAGGTGCAGCAGTGCTGACCACAGGACGGGCTGCAGCTGCAGTAGACGAGGTGACACCAGCAGCAGCAGAGGCTGCAGGGAACCATCTCCCACTCTCCCCCCCAGTGCACTCTTCCCCCCATGCAACCGTCGCCCTCCACTCACCCTCCTCTCCCTTCCCAGTGTTTCCCCCCTTTTGCTGCCCCTCCCAGTTGCTGCTCCGTTTCTGCACTCCCGGCCCGTCGTGACCCCCCTCGCATCTACCGACCTGCCCCACAGCACAAGGATTCCCAACAGCAGCAGCAGCAGCAGCAGCAGCAGCAGTGACTGTAGGGCCAGCAGCAGCAGCAGCAGGAGAAGCAGCAGCAGAAGCAGCAGAATGAGCTAGCTGCAGGTGCATGGAACGGCCAGTGCCATCGCCAGCAGCAGCACCGCACCCCCCACTGCTCCTGCTTGCATGCACCCCCCATGCTTCAACCCTTCTTAACCTACCCTCGCTCACATCCTTCTCTGCTTCCTCCGTCCTCTTACCACCACCACTAAGCTCCCTCTCTCTTGCCCTACCCTTCTCCCCCTCTCCATCCCCCACTCTCTCGCTCGCCCCCACTCTCTCACTCGCCCCCACTCTCTCACTCGCCCCCACTCTCTCACTCGCCCCCACTCTCTCACTCGCCCCCACTCTCCCACTGGTGACGCACTGATCCACGTGAGAGGACTCAAAGCAAACCGTCTCAACATCAGATGCCGTCTCCTCTTCCTCCTCCTCTTCCTCCTCCTTCTGCTGCTCCTCCTCCTTCCCCTCCCTCCCCTGCTCCTCATCCTCAACCCGCCCTATCCCCTCGCTGCCCTCACTCACCCTGCCCCCGTCCTCCTGCCTCTCTTCGTGCCGCCACTGCTCCAAGCGCCATGCGGAGTCAACTTCTCTTCCTCTCCCATCCCCCGCCCCTCTGACCTTTTGAGTCGGCTCAAAAGCGCTCCCATCCCCCGCCCCTCTGACCCCTCTGACCTTTCTCAGACGATGCTGCTTCCTCGCTGCATCAGCGACAGCAGCAGCAGCCGCAGCGCTCCCCTCACCGCCCGCACACCTCCCTGTGGCGTTTCTTGCCTTAACATCCCAAAGCTGCTGCTGCTGCTGCTGCTGCTGCTGCTCCCACTGTGGCATAGCAACACGCATCATTCGAGCACCCGGCATTGCTGTACCTTCCCTTGCCCCGCCCCCCTCACACTGCCCAACTGGATGCAACAAGCCAACACCAGCACAAGTGGCAGCAGCAGCAGCCGCAGCAGCAGCAGCAGCAGCAGCGGAACTGGCTGGTATACCCACGAGGCCATTCCTCCCATCCCCCGCTATCCCAACCTCCACAGAGGCCAGCCCAGCCACGCTTTTCCCCCGTTCTCTCCTCCTCTGCTTGCTGCTGCTGCCACTCCCTCTCCTCTCATCCCTTCCCTGCGCTGACCCTGAGATGCTCTCTGCCTGTCTCTTCCTCCTGCCTGTCCGAGTAGCAGCAGCAGCAGGAGAAGCAGCAGCAGCTGCTGCTGCTGCCACCACTGCTGTTGCCAGCGACAGGGCTGGCGATGTGGCTACTGGCACCTCAACAGGACCAGCCGCCACTGCAGGAGCAGTGAGAGCAGGAGCAGTGAGAGCAGGAGCAGCGGCAGTGGCAGCAGCAGCTGCAGCTATAGCTACTCTCTTTGTGTCCAGATGCAACCGTGTTGCAAAGGCCGAGAGACTGCCAGCAGCATCAGCATCAAGAGCATCACCAGCATCACCAGCAACAGCAAACACGCCAGCACCTGCTGTAGATGCCACACCTGTAGCAGCAGCAGCAGTAGAAGCAATACCACCACCACCAACATATATATGAACACCACCACTGGTCGCAGCAGCAGCAGCCACTGCCACAGATGCAGCAGCAGCAGCAGCACCACCACCACCACCCTTGCTATTCGTAGCAGCAATTGCATATCGACGAGCTGCATCTTCTCTCTTATTACCCAAGCCATCCTTTACAGGACCAGGGCCAGGACCAATGCCAGCAGCCTCCAACACTACCAGGCGCTCCTCCTTACCCTCTGGCCCCTCCATTGGACCAACGCTCTCCCTGTGACTCCTCTTTCTCTTCCTCCGCCCACCATCATTCAAACTCAGCTCCTCCTGCCGCCCATCCCTTTCCCGCCCTCGCCTCACCTCTTTCAGCTGCTCTCCTGCTCTCTCCCCCGACCCCCTGCTGCTGCCCTTTACCCCTCTGCCCTTTGCCCCTTTCCCACCCCTCTCACCCTTCCCTTCCAGCCTCCCCTGTTGTTCCTCTCTCTCTTGCACCTGGTGTTTCTTGCTCCGGCCTCTACCTGCTGCCCGGTGCTTGCGCCGCCTAATGAAATCGGGCAGCTTGAAGGCTTTTAGCCTCACGGGCAGGAGGGCCAAAGGAAGAAGCAGATTTGCAGTCTGTGGGATTGGTAAAAAGAAAATGCAGTGGTGGGGGGAGGAGGGGGGGGGCGGGGAGAGGGGAAAGCAGTACAGAGGAAAACGGTTAAGGCTAGTTGATAAACAACGTCAATGAAAATGAGGAAAGCACCCAAAAATGTGGTTTTGAAATTTCCTACACTTAAGAAAGCACCCAAACAGCGACACTAGCAAGCTCCTGCTGCAAGGACCCAACTCAACAAAGGGCATGCATGCATGCCCATAAAAGGAGAGAGAAAACATAACGGAATTTTTTTACCTTGCATTTCTCTCCCCTGTTTCACCCCACGCAATCCATGCCCACACTTACTGATATTTCCTTGCACTTCGCCGCAGCTCCAGCAGCAGCACTAGCAGTAGCTGGCGCAGGGGTAGCAGCAGAGGGAGCGGATAGCGGGGAAGGTGGGCATGGCTGCATGGCTGCAACGACTGGTGGGGACGAGGCACGGAGTGGGGACGAGGGCAGTGGCGGAAGTAGCTTTTGAGAACTCTCAGAGAGTGGGTCTTCTGCTGCAATGCGTGGTGCTGCAGGTCCTGACCATACCACATGCCCCTCTGCTGCTGCTGCTGCATCTGCTTCTGCTTCTGCGCCTGCTTCTGTTGCTGCTTCTTCTTCTGCTACTGCTTCAGCTTCTTCTGCCTTTCCAGCTGGTAAAGATACATCTATCGCTGCTTCTTGTGATCGTGTTGATGGTGATGCTAGTGCTACTGGTGGTGCTGCTGGTGCTCGTGCTACTAGAGCTGGTGCTGCTGTTGGCGTTGCTATAGGAGGTGATGGTGAAGGTGGTACTGCCAGTAAAGCCGCAGCTCTCTGGGGAGATCCAAGGGAAGAATCAACTCCAGGCGTCTGCAGCGCCGTAGTAGCAGCAGATGGACAAGGCTGTTGCAGCACAGGCAGCACAGGCTGCGAGGAGAAAGAACGATCTCCAAACGGGTGAAGCGTCACCACCTGCACACCCGCCTCCCTTCCACCTGCTGCCGCCTCCCCAATCCACACACGCTCGCCTTGCCCCTCCACTCTTTCGCCCGCCTGCTGCCCTTCCCCATTCCTTGCCACTTCCCCATCCCGATCCACCTCCCCGCTCCTCTCACTTCTTTGGTCCTCCCTCCAGCTCGCCTCCCCCACATCCTTATCCTTCTCCTCGTCTTCCCTTCCTTGGTCATCCTCTGCAGCCTGCCTTGCTCCCTCGTTGCTGCCATCCACATCTCCTTTCTGACTCTCCTCTGTGACCATACCATCCATCAGCTCACCCCGAGCCCCCCTGCCAGCACTGGCAGCAGGTGCATCGGCACCAACAGTACTAGCAGCAGCAGCAGCAGCAGTAGCAGCAGTAGCAGCAGCAGCAGCAGCTGCTGCAGCACCAGCAGTACCACCAGCAGCAGCAGCAGATGGGCCAGCAGCAATGATGACTTGGGGCAGAGGCGAGGTCTCAGCATCAGCATCAGCATCAGCATCAGCATCAGCAGAGGCGACAGTGAACGGCAGAGGCACATGGTGGGCGGCAAGAGGCAACGGCTGGACGTCAGTGGCAATGGTGACTGCTGTGGCAGCAGCAGCAGCAGCAGCCGGAGCAGCCAGAGCAGGGGCGGAGAGAGGCGGAGCGGACGATCTAGAAGGAGAAGAAAGAGGAGTGGCGGAGAGAGGAGCGGAGGCAGGAGCAGGGGTGGCGGAGAGAGCAGCAGTAGTGTGAGTTGAGATTTCCACTGCAGTGTGCCCACCAACCACAATGATGTGCTCTGACTCTGTCCCTGTCGGTGACTGTAACTGTGACTGTAGCTGTGACCCTGACTCACACACCCGCCGCTCCCCCTCTGCCTCCCGCTCTGCCTCCCCCTCTGCCTCCTGCTCTGCCTCCCTCTCTGCCTCCCGCTCACATGCTGCTTCTTGTACCACTGCTGCACATGCAGGTGCACCAACACCACTCCCAGCACCAGCACCACCATCACCACCACTCCCAGCACCAGCACCAGCACCGGCACCAGCACCGGCACCGGCACCGGCACCGGCACCGGCACCGGCACCGGCACCGGCACCGGTAAGCCCAGCGTTACCCCCACTCAGGCGATCACCACCATCATCACTGCAAGCAACATCAAGAGCAGCGGGGGCAATGGGGGCAGCGGGAGCAGCAGGAGCAGCTTCAGGCGAGCCTGCACCTACCAGCTCCCTGCACCCACTTTCCTGCGCCCCTGCACCCTCTCTCTCCTCATCCCCCCCACGCCCTTGTACTGCCATCCTCCCATCCCCCTGCCTCCGCTCCTCTAAAAAGCCCCCTTCTCCCTCCTGCCCCTCCCTGCCCCCCTGCCCTCCCCCCCATGCTCGTTTCTGCGCCAGAATCACGTCCAGACCTGACAGCCCCACAGGCTCGGGAGCATCAGCCGCCAGCCCATGCAATGGTGCCCCTGGCACTGCCACTGGCGCGCCCTTGGCACTGTCTCCCCCACACGCTGCTACTGGTTGCAGCAGTGCAGGCAGCACGGGAGGGGGTTGAAGCACAGCTAGTGACTGTAGCGCAGGAAGTGACTGCTGCAGTGCAGTCGGTGCAGGCAGGGGGTTGCAGCTCGTGGCAAGAGGTTGCTGGAGAGGCGATGTAGAAGGATCGGGGGGGACTGCACTGGCATGTAGAGGAGACAGACAGACATACGACCCCTCCCCACTGCCTCGTTCTAGCTCTCCTCCCACCTGCACGCCCACCACTACCACCTCCTCCACCTCGTCCTCCTCTCCCTCCTCCCCGCCCGCCACCTCTTCCCCCTCCTCCTCCTCCTCCTCCTCCTCCTCCTCCTCCTCCTCCTCCTCCTCCTCCTCCTCCCATCCCTCCCTCTCCTCGGCCTCATTCCCTTCTCCCTCCTCCTGCACCTCCTCTTCCTCTTCCTCCACCCTCCATTCCCCCAGCAGTCTCCGCCTCTCTCTCAACCACCCATGCTGACACCTATCCACCCACTCCACCCTACCCGCCCCACCCGCCCCGCTCTCCCCTAGCGCTTTCCACACCGGGGCAAACGCCACCACAGCCAGCCGAACCAGCAGGCGCCTAGCGCCAAAAATCCCCCACCTCCCAGCTCGCATGCCTCTCCAGGGACCCAGCTCAAAGGGCACAAAGGGCACAGGGCCGCCTGTGGGGCACGTGGGGTGGCTCCACGGGTGCCCAACCCGCCCCCCATCATCATCATCATCGTCATCGTCATCGTCACCAGTGCACCCTGCTCCGTAATCGTTTAGACGATCGTCTAGATGCTCGTTTTGACGATTGTTTCGATGACCGTGATTGTTTCCATGGTCGTTTCCATGGTCGTTTCCATGACTGTTTAGATGATGTGGTTCTTGCTCCACCTGCCACCGCTTGCGCTTGCGCTGCCACGAGGGGGCTGAGGGGGGGAAGATGCGGGATTCGACACAGGAAGGGTGCGTGCACGTGGGGTCGCCGTTGCACGTGCAGGGGGGGAGTGCAGGTGAGGAGGGAGGAGGGAGCGCTGGTGATGGGACGGGGTTGGGAGCGGGAGACGGAGCGGGAGAGCGAGAGGGAGAGAAGAAGATGGGTGTGTCTGTTGACGTGGGGCTCAGAAGGCTGATGATGGCATCTGTGGCTGTGTTGTCGGGAATAGCAGTGTCCTGCATGTGGACGTGCACTTGCACTGGCACTTGCTGCTGCTGCTGCTGCTGTTGCATGGCAGACACATGCAGATCCTTTTTTCTGCTGCCACCCTCTCTCCTGCACATTCCTACAACGCCCTTCATCTCAGCCTGCCTGTCACCTCCCATCATCCTCCCATCCACCTCCTCCTCCTCCTCTTCCACCTCCTCCTCCTCCTCTTCCCCTGCTTCGCCCCGCACTTCATCAACTGCCCGTTTTGCGCCCTTGGCCCCACCCTTGCCCCCACCCTGGCTCCCACCCTGCTCATGCACCTTCGCTTGCTGCTCGTCCTCTCTTTCTTCCATCCAACTTCCTTTCTCCCCCACCTCCTCCTGATACCTCCTCACTTCCCTCGCCTCACTCTCCTTTTCCATCCACCCTCCCCTTTGCAGCTTACCCTCTCCCTCCTCCACTTCCTCCACCTCCTCCTCTTCCTCCTCATCCTCTTCCTCATCTCCCTCCTCCTGCTCCTCCTCCTCTTCCTCCTCATCCTCGTCCTCCTCCCACTCCTCTTCCTCCTCTGTCTGCTTTAGCTCCAGCCTCCTAGATCGTCTCACTCGCTGCACCGCTCCCAACCCTTCCAAGCGCCTTCCCTTTCCTCTGGACACCTCCCTTGCCCCTCCACTCTCCCACCTCGACCCCCTCTCAACAGCAACATTCCACAAGCCCCTCCCTCTTCCCCTCCCTCTGCGTCTCCCGCGCCCTCGTCTCCCCCCTCTCCCTCTCCTCCTCCCAGCCTCCCTGCCGCGCCCCCCCAGGCGTCCTTCTGACCCTTCTGACTCGCTACCAGACCCTGCTCCCCCGGAGTCACGGGACGTGCTCCTTTCGCCTTCTCTTGGGCTTTGGTCCTCTCTCGCCCCTCTTCCTCGTCCAGGGGGCGATAGCCCTACGGAGTATGTGTGGTGGTGTGGTAGCCAGCGGAGGGAGTGGTGATGCCCCTTATGCTGCCATGACCCGCTCTCCCTCTCTCTCGTCTCCCGCTGCCTGGCCTCAGCAGCCGCGGCTTTCCGACTGGCCAATGGCAAGTCGCTGTTTGCAACGCTGCTGCTGCGGCTTCCGCTGCCGCTGCTGCTGCTGCCACTGCTCCTGCTGTCGCTGTCGCTGACACCTCGGCGCCTGAAGCTGCTGCTGCTGCTGCTGCTGACGCCGCAGCTGCTGTTGCTACTGCTGCCACTAGTTTGCCTGCCTGCACTGACCCTGAGTCTAGCTTCCTCTGCCATACAGCCCACAACGCCACCATCACTGCGTATGCTTTGGTTGCTGCTGCTGCCACCACTGCTGGTTCTGGCACTGCTGTTGAGCTCCACACGAGTATTATCACTCGATGCAAACGCCTCACTATCGCTGCTATCGCTGCTATCGTTGGTATCGCTGCTGTCGCTGCGATTTCTAGAGCTGAAGTGGAAAGAATCCCCATCGTCATCATCATCATCGTCACCACCACCACCACCACCGCCACCACTATCATCGTGCATAAGAGAGTCATCTTTGGCAGCGGCGGTCCTGCAATTGGTGCTGCGGCTAGCTTTGTGCAGGAGCCTGCAGTTGGAACGATGCGCAAGCTCCCTGTGCCCCCGTCCTTCCCCCCCCCCACCACCCCCCCCACCAGCACCGCCAGCACCACCAGCATCAGAACCGCCCCTTACTCTCCTGCTGCTCTTTATCCTGCTGCTACTGCTACTGCTACTTCTGCTACTACTGACGCTTCTGCCTCTGCTTCTGCCATTCTCCTCACTCCCACTTCCTTCCTTCAATCTGACTTCACCATCCACCCGCCCCATATAACCCGCCCTTTCTCCCCCATCTCTCCCGTCTCTCTTATCATTCTCCTCACTCCCATGTGTCCCACGTGCCCCATGCCCCCCATGCCCCCCAACGCCCATGGACCGCACAGCAGCAGCGGTCCACCCGCCGTGGCCCCTTGGCAGCCTGCCCCTCCTCGCCTCACACGGCCATGCACCCCCTGCTCCCCCTGCTCCCCCTGCTCCCCCTGCTCCCCCTGCGCCCCCTGTTCCCCCTGTCCCCCCTGCTCCCCCTGCCCGCCTGCCTGCCCCCCACAGTTCTCCGTTGCCCTCTCGCATCCTTTTACTCAACCCTCCAGCTAATTCCATTTCCCGTTCGAGGTCTCCTGCCGCCGAAGCTACTGCTCCTGCTGCTGCTGCTGCTGCTGCTGCTGCTGCTGTCTGTTCGAGGTTTCCTGCTGCTGTTGTCTGGACAGCAGCAGCAGCGGCGGCATGAGTGGCTCCGCCTCGCAGCATCGCTTCCCGAGCTTCACACCCGCCACACTCCTCACCCGCCACTACCACCACAACCTCCTTCACCGCTTCGAAACCTGCTGAACCTACAGAAACCCGACCAAGCTTAGCCAAGCCACCACCATCACCATCACAACCATCACCAGCACCAGCACCAGCACCAGCACCAGCACCAGCACTAGAGGAGTAGCCTGAGAGGTGAAAGGGGCCGTTGAGGCAAAGTCCTACCGGAACATCGACTGCACGCCCATACTCCTCGCCTCCCATACCCGCATCCTTCTCAGGCTCACACCCGAACGCCACACATCCGTTCCTTCCATTCCCTAGCTCCCTCGGCGCGCTTTTGCCCCTCTGCAACCCTCTACCCGGTTGCATAACCGGCCTACTCCTCCCCTCCGCCGCCCCCACCCCTGACCGTCCGCCCGCGCGCACACTATCCTCCTCTCTCCTCGCTCTCCTCTCCTCCTCCCCCGTCCCTGCTCCGCCTCTCCCCTCAACTCCCCCTTGGCGCGGCATCGTCAGAACCTCGACTGTCCTCGCTTGTATGTCGCAGATACCGCCGCCCAGGTCATCAGACACACACGCATCGTCTCCCCCTGCCAACTGGTCCTCTGAACTCACCTCCACTTCTACTTCCTCCTCCACTTCCTCCTCCTCCTTCTCTTCCTCCTCTTCCTTATCTTCCTCCTCTTCCTTATCTTCCTCCTCTTCCTTCTCTCCCCCCTCTTCCTTCTCTCCCCCCTCTTCCTTCTCTCCCTCCTCCTCCTCCGCTTCTCGGTACCGTCTCCCGCCACCCACGCCGTCCCGCCTTCCCCCCTTACCGCCACCCCGCGCACCAACCTCCCCATCCGCCTCTCCTTGCCGCAAACTGCCGTCAGCACTCCCCCGAATCTTGCTTCCGACCTTCACTCCCGTGTTCTCTCCGCCCAAGTCCCAATCTTGGTCCCTATCTCGTCCGCTATCTCGGCTTCCCATACAGTCCTTCACCACCAGACGCCCATTCATCCCCCTCACCTCCTCTCCCGCACACGCCACAGGTCCTCCTGCTCGCTCCGCACTCCACACCCTCACCCCTGCTCGCCTTCCTTCTACACCGCTCCCCCCACATCCCCACTCCGCTCCGTCTCCCCGCTCACCCGCTGCTTCCTGCCACGCCTCGCTTTTCCCGCTCGGTTGTTCCGCGCGCCTTTTAGCGGCAGCCCGCGCCCTCTTCCGCACCATCAGCGCGCGCTCCAGCTCCAGCCCTTTCGGAGTCATCTTGCGATGGCGCTTCTGCGCCGTCCCAGCGCAATCTTGCGCCACAATCCCCGCAGGGGGCGGCGTTGAAGGCTCCGCTTGCTCCGCGGAAATCGCTGCTACCCCGCGCGCCATGCCCCGGGGACATAGCGCATGCGCATCCGCGCCTTGTCCGCCCGGACTACAATCTGACAGCACTCTGCTCACTACCCGCTGCCGCTGCAGCACTCTTTGATTCTCCTGCTCCTCCTCTTGCTGCTGCTGCTGCTGCTGAGGAGGCGGCTTGAAATTTTCTGCCCGGGGGTCGAGGCCCATTCAGGCGCAGTAAGTCACGGTATGCCTCTCTCGCACCAACTCTGGAAACGACGGCTCTAGGGGCCGGCTTGACGCGATCAGCGAGCGCACTTCAACCGCCATGAAACCCTAACAGGGTGTGCCGGAGTCTGGACTGACTAAGCGGTGGATACACTCTAAGAAATCTCGTCGAACAGGAGGCTCCCACGCCTGCTTACGTGGAAAGAAATTTCAGTCACCAGAGTTAAGGACGGAGAGCAGTACGGTGTTCTTATGAGACGTCAAGGACGCGAGAGAGACTTGAAGAAAATCCCATGGCAGAAACGCTAGTCTGCTGAATTTCGGACATGTTATCGTATTGGGAGAGAAGGAAACGCACTCGAGAGGAGACAAGTCCGAAATCTGGGGATAGTGCTGTCCTGGAGAGAAGTCAGGATTAGGCAAGATGGCAAAATGTGCCACGATGTTTCCCCAGAAACGCGTCGAAGAACGAGCACCATTCGAGGTGAAGCAAGACACGAGGGAGGTGGCAGTTAGGCATCGCCCACCTGCTTTGGCAGCCTGCTATGGGCTCATGGGGTTTGGTTTGGTTTGGTTTGGTTTGGGTTTCCGTAGTCCCTTCCACCAACCCAGGCTGAGAGAGGTTGAAGAAGAGGTTTGGTGGATACCAAAATTGTAATTTCAAGGTTCCAGTTGCAGAGAGGCTTCCAGCAGAGCTCGCGATTAGGGTTTGCGATGCCAGCGAGTCAAATACCTGCCTTCGCGTTTCTTCGCGAACCCTATCCTCATAGTCGTACAGGTTCTGGCGGAGTTTTCACCAAACAGGCAGAGTGGACCACAATCCCGAGGATCACGCACCAATCGAAGGCCATGCTCGAGTCCTGGCTGTGCGAGACTGTAATCCCGGCAGCAGCCTGGGTTACACGTATTGGCCAGATTTGCTTCGCTGGTCAGAAAAAATTTACCCAACAGCGAAATTTGGAAACGACTTGGTTGGTTGCCTGGTTGGTCGGTGTAGCAATTTTGTTTTCGTTGCGCCACCACGTGGTGCGGCCCAGAAACACAAAACCGTAAACAGGTTGAGCGCGCCCAATGGATGCCAGTTGGCTTTGAGGCCCTGGGCGACTGGTTGATGCTGCAGCCCCCGCTTCCAAGGCACCTCAACAGGTTGCCTTCCACATCGCAGCTGAACCTCGCTCTTGATAGGATGCAAAGGGGGAGCCACGTGGACGAAGATGACGGGTACAGGTGAGACACAAGACACGAGAATTTGTTCAGGGCGTGTCCAGCGCGTTCGTCCTGAGGGCGCGTTCAGGAAGTTTGGCCGACCACGAAGTTTAGCCGTGCGGCTTGCCACGTCGGAATTGCACTTTTCAATGTTTAGCCATGCGGCTTGAAGTTTAGCCAACCCCACCTGGCCGGCCAGAAATCATGCGACAGGGGCCCACGAAGAGTTAACATATGGCGTTTCGGTGGTTTCGCCCAACGCCATTTTATCATTCGCAAACATTCTAATTTGGCGCGATCCCGGTTGGTTCACAACATGTCGAGTTTGGCCTTGCCCAAACTGTCGCCAGTGACGTGGCACTGCAGTTGGCTAAACTTGGCCAACCCAATTTTTGCCAACCAAAGTCGCAACTTTGGCCAAGCCAATGCTAACGCGGCGTGTCGGATGGCTAAACTTCGTCGTCGACCAAACCCCAGAGCCAGAACGCGGTCTGATGCACGCATCATGGTAAGTAGGATACATCGCAATTGGGAACGGTTTTCAAGATTCACCAAGCTGGACCGCTGAGAACCACACTGGTACCATATAAAGTGAATTGTAAACGCTCTGGAGACTATCAGAACTCAGCCACCAACTACAAAGTTAAAAGGGCTTGTTAAGTAGCGGGTTAGTGCGCCCATAACTTCCCAGGATCTGCACCTGTAACCCTTCCCTAAAGACCAAAGGCAACCCCAACGTGTATCATGACACCCTCCCTCGCTGGGGTAGGCAGAAGACACAGGTCTCAGAGCAGAATTGTTGAATAGAATGAGAGATGCAGGGTGGTTTTGTCTAAGGGGTTGTGCTCTCTATAAGACTGCACTTATCTAGCAAATAACATATACAAAATATATGTTAACACACCCCCTATGCTAGACAAGGGGCAACGATCAGCACGAGACACGTAGCTCAGGGTAGCACTACTAGTCCAACTTCTGAAGCAAGGGCTTGAAGACCAGTCTACAAGAGTACACATGAAACAAAAGCAACCCAGGGCAACAGTACTAGTCCAACCACTAGAAAAGGGGCCATAAGGCCAGTTAAGATAATATCAGATATGGTACACAATCAAGGTCCTAGCAAGTGAGCAGCTATAGGAACTACACCAAGCTGTACACACTGTCGCTAATTATCTTTAGGCGCAAGCGCCTTCGTAACGATATCAGCTATGTTAGCACCAGAGGCCAAGTGAACTACGCGGGACTGGTAGCGTTGCTGTAATTTGTGCAGGATGAAGTACCGCGGCTGGATGTACTTTGCTCTGCCCTCCAGTCAAGGCTCCTCACGCAGGAGGATCATGGCCATGTTGTCAGCGTACAGGACCGGGGCAGAGCTAGGCCGTTCACCTAAGTCTATGAGCAAGAAGGTCAGCCAGCAAAGCTCCTGTGCCGCCATGGCACCAGCATAGATCTCAACCTCACAGCTACACTGTGCAACAGACAACGAGTGAGCGGACCTCCATGAGATAGCGCCTACACCATGGCTAAAGCAGTAGCCCTAGGAGGACCTGAGGGTCTCAACGTCGTCTGCCCACGAAGCGTCTGTGTGCCCTGTAAGGGCCACTGGTCTGTATCCTCCTAGCAGTAGCCCCATGCCCGATGTACGTACTCTTAACGCAAAACCCTCTTAGCGGCCAACCAGTGTTGTAGTCGGTGTCTGCCTGTAGCCACAAAGCGAGCCAGGATGCTGAGAGTGTATGCGAGGTCTGGACGAATGCAAGGCATCAGGTACATCAAGCAACCCACCAGCTCTGTGTAAGGAGCACTAGGCTCTACAGACTCCTCAGAGACAGGAGCCGAGAGCCTGTAATCTACCGGCAGAGGAGTGGGCTGTAGAGGAGAACTGAAGACCGAACCTCTGAAGGACCTGGCTCACCAAGTGTGACTGTGTAAGACTGATGGTGCGCGCTGCTCTATCCCTGGAGATCTGCAGTCCAAGGTAGTTGTGCAACTCTCCTAGGTCAGTGCAGGTGTGTCTCCTCAGCAGCTCAGCCTTCATAGAGGCTAGTGCGTCTCTGTCTGTAGTAGCAAAGACCAGGTTATCTATATAGACAAGGATGTAGAACGGGGTCCGGCCAGAACGAGCGAAAAGCGAGGGGTCTGCAGACGACGGGAAGAACTGCAGGTCAGCAAACGTGGCACGTAGCGTGTTGTGCAACTCACGCGGCGCCTACCGTAGGCTGTAAACCGGGCGCGGGAGGAGCCACTAGGTCCCCGGGGTGAAGGTGCCGGTGAAGCCTGGCGGGCGACATAGTTAGACCTGCCCGTGCAGACTGCCCTGAAGAAACGCTGTAGAGAAGTCGAGGGAGTGCAGCTCGTAGTCACGCTGTGCTGCTACGTGTAGCAGCGCCCGAAGAGTAGTCATCTTCGGGGTTAGAGCGAGGGTCTGTAAGAAGTAAACACCCTCGCGATGACTGAAGCCTCTCGCGATATAGCGTGCCTTGAACACCATCGACTCTCCAGGAGGGCGCTTCACATTGAAGAGCCACCGACCATAGACCATGTTCACCCCAGGTGGGGGAACTACGTCGACGTAGGTGCCGGTGGATCTCCAAGATGTCATCTCCGCGTCCATGCCAGCGATCCAAGGAGAGGCCCAGGGTCCCGAGGTAGCCTCAGCGTAGGTGCGAGGGGTCGGGATGTCAAAGGCTTCTGGGTTACCCTCAAGGACTAGCAGCCTCGGACAGGAAAGTGAGCTCGTAGTGACGGTCCTCCACGACGTTACTGCCAGGGGCTAGAGCACTCCCGACGGACGGAGGGCGGGCAGGGTCAGAGACCAAAGCGGTAGCGTTTGCAAGGCGGCGCGTAGAGGCAAAGTCAGTAACGGCAGCGATAAGAGCATCAAGAGTGGAGAAAGGAACGGACAGATCGGTAACGAGGGAGGCAAGGACACGACGAACAAGAGGACTAGCTGCACGAAGGAAGACAGATACGGGAGGCGGAGAGACAACAAGCGACGACGGAGGAGGCGACGGGAGGAGGGGACGACGAGGCATGTGGGAAAGGAGCAACATACTATGAGAGCGCTGAACAGGAGAGACAGGATGAGCACGAGAGGGACGGCGAGACCAGAAGTGGGATGGAGGCTTCGTGTTAGGAGACACGGGAGGAGAATGAGTGGGGAAACGAGCCGGAGACGAGTCCAGCTGAGGAAACACAGGGCCGTAGACAGGCGGGTGGTCAGAGGAGGGAAGACGGAGGAGGCGAAGGGCGGACACTGGCGGTGACTGCTGCTGATGCTGCTCCACACCGACACCAGAACCTCCAACTGCACCATGGCTACCTCCGAGATGCTCCATGACAGCACCCCCAGAACGAGAACCCTCTCCACCACCGATGCCACCCTTAGGACCGTTGGGACAAGCCATAGCAATAGCCTGAGGAATAGCAATCCTAGAACCAGCACCCCCAGAGCGAGAACCCTCCCCAATACCGATGCCACCCCCAGGACCACCGAGACAAGCCATGACAGTACCACCAGGACTATCACATTTTCAACGCCCACACTCCCAGAGCCCGCGGACCCCTTCGACGGCGGCTGCTGCTGTGGCTGCGACGGCGCCGACGGCTTCTGCGGCGACGCTTGCGGCTGCTGCGGTAGTGGAGGAGGGGGAGACACTGGGGCGGAGACGGCCAGTGAAACCGAAGCCGCAAGTCCCCCTGAGTTAGCCGACTCCTCCACCGGGACAACCGATGGGACCGGAGTGACGTGAGACACACAACACGGGGCACGACGTGGAGGAAGAGAAGCAGGGGCTAGCGGGGGAGTGGGGACTAGGAATAGGGGTGGGGCAATCTAGAGACCTCGGTGTGGAAAGCGGGTGTAGAAGGAGACAGACTCGTCAAAAGTGACGTCACGAGAGTGGAAGAAACGGTGAGACGGCAGGTGGTAAAAGTGCCAACCTGACGTGTCGAGGGGGAAACCAAGGAACTTGCCGCCACGGTCGGAGTGAAGTCGCAGTACAGGGAGGTTGCGGTGGACTCGCACAGCTACGATCCACAGGATACGAACGTCAGGCACCTCAGCCTTCCACTCTAGGGGAAACACCGTGGTGTAACGCGTCGTCGACAAGCACTAGGAAGTAGCGCTCTCGATGCGGCCCAGGGACAGGGGTTGGGCCCCAGACATCCAAGTGCAGGGTCTAGAGTGGCGCAGTTGTAGGGGGAAGCAAGGAGGAGTGAGGGGCACAGCGCAGCCGGCCCTCGACGAAGGGCGTGCACGGCGGCACTGGCGAGGGAGGGAGGGCAAGGAGCGGCGCAGGTAGACCGAAGACAAGACTGTAATGGGTCATGTAACGTAGACACATGAGTGCGGGGTGACCTAGGCGGTGGTGCCACAGGAGCGACGTGTGGGTGAGCGACCGACACGAGCAAGCCGCAGCAATCTGGGGGGACGCTCCCACCGGGGGGGACATGGTGTCTAGGGTGAACAGGCCAGACACGGGGTCCCATGGGAACGTCGTGAGAGGTGCACCAGTAGCGGCCTTGATATAGACTGCGTTCCGCTCGTATCCAGGGAACGTAGTTGTGACGCCGAGGTCCTGAAGACAGCCGACACCAACTAGGTTCTTGGAGAACGAGGGGATGTGCAAGCCTGTAAGAGAGCCTAAGTGAACCGCCGGACAGGGAAGGGTAGTAGAGCTACGAGCAACTACCGGACCTAAGAAGGGGTCAGCAAGCGCTACATCAGCAGGGGTAGTAAGCGGCGTGAGCGCATTGTGGTCACAAAAGAAGCAGGCTGACACACAAGAGTCTAGCGTGAACGAGCGTGCGACGGTAGCGGCCGCAAGCGGAGGAGTTAGAGTGGAGCCAAGGCCAAACAAGGCAGGTGGTCCTAGGCCTGACGCAGCAAGGGAACCTAGACTACACACAGTGGACACACCTACACTAGGCAACACCGTATAATAAGATCCAATCATACTAGAGTCATCAACATATATGGCATACATAGTAGACCTACTCTGATCCATGTCAAGCACAAAGACAGGGACACGGCGACGCACCAAGCTGTACCAGTCGGGGGGGGTCCAACGTGGTGCCGAAGTGGAGACAGAAGAGGTCGTCCAGGCGGCGGTAGCAACGGGCGGCGGTGTGACGGGGACGGTTGCAGACAGTGTCGCGGCGGGGGGCGGACTGAAGCTGGTACTGGCAGGTGACCGCACTAGAGCCGCCACCCGACACCGAGCTGCGCGACCCACGACCACGACCACGACCACCAGTGCCGCCAAGCCACCACGGCAGCGGGGGTCCCTACGATGGCTGCTGCTACTGCCGCGACTCCTGCTGCTGAGGCTGCTTCTGCTGCTCTGGGGCATCAGCCCCAGTCCCCTCGTCTGCACTACCGTCCTCACCCCCACCTCCACCACCCTTCCCTCCGCCACGTCCCCCTTTGGAGCATCGGATCCTACCCTGACGCGGCAGCGCTGAGGCCGCGGCGGCGGTCTCAGCAGCCGGGGCTGCCTCAGGGACAGCAGTAGAAATGTCATAGTAAGTGTACTGGGAGGGAGCAAAAACCTGGAAGATAGGGACGGCCGCAGTACCGTTAGACTGAGCGATAATGCGCTGGCGGGTCTCTATCGCGAACAGGGTGGTGACGAAGGCAGTAAGGGTGAGGTCACCTGGGTGCCGACTAAGGAAGTGGTCGCGGGCAGTGGCTAGGCGCATGGCAATGAGGTAAAGGGTAGCGCAAAGTGGCAGCATGAAGGCAGTGAGCTGTGCCTCAGTGCTAGCGGCGCGGTAGCTAGTCTCAAGTGCGCGGAGGTGAGTGGCAAGGTCAGCGACAATGGGGAAGGACGCAAGTTCAAGGAACAGCATAGAGAGGAACAGGCGGCCAGCAGAGGCTGAGGAGGGAGTGGAATAGCATGCAATGACTGCATCTAAGTACTCCTTTGTGTTTGCTACACTGTAAGGCGGGAACGCTCAGACAAGGGGGGGGCGTGACTAATGGCAAGCTGTGCAACGGCGTCGCTCGAATCCAAGAGAGCGCGGGCAAGCTCAGCAGCAGCAAAGGCCTCACACTTATCAGACGTGGGGGCGTCATGTTGGGCAGCGGGCGTGGTGGGGCAAGGGAGCTTACCGTCGACATGGACGGCCATGGAGTAGCCGTCATGGCACAGACCAGTCATCTGGCGGTGGAGGTCGACGAGCCATGCCTCAAAATCAACGGCCCGACCCTCCACGTCCAGGCGGAGCACTGAGTCCGCCATAACCACAGCTGCAGCAGCTGATTGCCGCTGACGGGGGGAGGAGGAAAGCGGAGGAGGGTAGTGGAGACTGGTGGAGAGCGGTGGAGAGCGGTGGAGAGCGATGGAGTACGGTGGAGTGCGGTAGAGTGCGGTGGAGGGCGGTGGAGTGCGGTGGAGAGCGGTGGAGTCTGGCCGTTGGAGCGCCGACTCAGAGGGGGAGCCAAGGCCGGCAGGTAGCAAGGGTCGGGGCGGGCTGGGACTGGCGGAGCTGCGGTCGGTGGAGCTGGGACCGGCGTGAGTGAAGGCCGGGACAACGGGGTCGGCAGGCGCGGGGCCAGCAAGCGCAGGGTCAGCGAGCGCGGGGCGGGTGAGCGCAAGGCTGGCGGGCACGGGGCGGCCTAGCGAGGGGCCAGCGAATTCGGAGCCAGCGGGGGCAGGGCCAGTGGGCGCGGGGCCAGCAGGCTCAGGGCTGGCGGGCGCGGGGCCAGCAGGCGCAGGGGCCAGCGGGCGCGGGGCTGGCGAGCGTAATGGCCGGCGGGCGCGGGGCCGGAGAGCACAGGGCCAGCGGCGAGGGGCTGGCGAATGCGGGGCCAGCGGGCGCAGGGCTGGCGAAATCGGGGCCAGCGAGCGCGAGGCCAGCAGGCGCGGGGCAGGCGGGCGTGGGGCCAGCAGGTGCGGGGCAGGCGGGCGTGGGGCCAGCAGGTGCGGGGCTGGCGAGCTCGGGGCCAGCAGGCGCGGGGCTGACGATCACGGGGCCAGCGGGCGCGGGGCTACGGGCGGCTAGCGACGGAAGGCTAGCGACGGGCAGCTAGGGCCAGGACCAGAGAGGAAGTGCGGGTGGGCGGGGGAGGGCCTAACCTAGCGCGTGATACCATCTCACAGTAGAATTGTTGAATAGAAAGAGAGATACAGGGTGGTTTTGTGCTCTCTATAAGATTGCGCCTCTGCAACGCTGCCACCTCTCCGGTGCACACTGGGAATTGAACCCGGGTGGTCACCCAGCTCTGATACCATATCAGAACTCAGTTACTAACCACTGGGTTAGTGCGCCCATAACCCTCCAAGCTCTGCACCTGTAAGTAACCCTTCACTGCCAACCAAGGGCAACCCCAGTGTGTATCATGACAGACACGCCCCCAACAGGTTGGGATCCAGCCAGTGAGACAACGGCAGCAGCAGCAGCAGATGAGTGGGAGCCCATGTGACACAAAAACGAAGTTTGGGGGGGAATGGCATGATAGAGAAATAGCCTGAAGAATGCTTCATCACTGCTGCACTTAGTCTCCCGCCCATGGTACACACCCCTGTGCACATCCTCATCCCCTCGTTAACCTTAGCCTCAACTTCCTACCCGAGACATCATTGTTCTATCCACCACGGGAAAAATGACAAGTACCGTAAAACGGTTGATTGATACACAAACTCGGCAAAACGTAATGGACGGTTATCAGTGGTCAGCCGGTGCATTCTCACCACCCTTACACATTTCATGATGTATCGCCTGTTGAAGCAACAGGTCTAACACTTCCTTCTAACAGATTCCTCTCCCTTTCCTCGCGTTCTAACCGATCTTTCTCCTCCACTTCCCGCCTCAACCTCTCCAGCTGCCTCCTACTCCTCTCCTGCTCCTTCTCTGGTCGGCCCCGTCGCTGCATGAGTCGCCGCCGAGCAACCTCTTCAGACAACTCCTCCTCACCCTCGCCCTGCCACAGCCGTACAGGAGGCGTTCCAATACACAAGGGTGAGCTTATGGAACACACAGTGGCCAGAAGCTGTACAGTTGCATTTCCAGCTAAGTGAAACCCTGGCAAGGCAAGGGCCATCAAGGCAGGGTTCTCCTAGCAAGGGCGACAGGGTCTAAACGGCCATGATACTTCCTCGCCAGCCATCCCGACATTCAACCCACCAAGCAGCAAGCAAGGGCCACCAAGACAGTCATCCCCCCCCCAGAACCATCGGACGTATCCAGACCAAACGACCTACGAAGTTCCTTCTCCCTTGTAACACTGTGAACTCGAAGCATCTTCTTCACGTCTTGGTTGGCCGGAGGAGGGCAATGCACGAGGACAGAACACCGGCTCTCACTCACCTGGTTGAGCGAGAACGGGTGTCTCCGCGGGATGAACCGCACCGTCATGGGATCCACGCCCTCGGGCACTGGGTCCCCTTCCACCAGCACCAGCTCCGGCTTCTTCCACCCATGCTCCTTGCGCCGTTGCTGCCGGTGGTACTCCATCTTCTCGCTCGTCAGCGGCGGCAGCGGCTCCAGCTCCACCAGAGTGGCGTTGCCGATGCGGTAGTTCCGCACGGACGTGGGGTCGTCGAACTCCCGGATCACGCGCAACCTGAGGGCGGCATGGAGGGGGGAGAGCGGGGTGAAGGAAAAGGAGGGGTTTCGTGAAGGGGGTAAGGGAACAGATTCGTGTAAGAAAAGGGCGTGTTTCGGCAGTTGGCTCTTCGCGAGACATGTGACAAAAAGGCGTGCGAGCTGGATGACAGCGTGACCTAAGCATTTTATTATGTGATTTTACTCGTTTGCTCAAACATATGTTTCTTATTTCTTTTCAGGCACGTACGGCACAGATCTGTCAGCCGCAATGAACCCTCGGCGAGCTAGCGAGTCCACGGGCCTCTCCTCCTCTCCCCTGGCTCTCCGTATCAGCACCGCGCTGACCCCTATCACAGCCAGCGCGCCTGCTGCCACTCCGCCAGCCGTCCACCATGCTGCTGATTCGGTGGGTAGCGGTAGCCGCTCAAGAAACGAGAACTGTCAAGTATGAGTGGAGGGAATTGAATATAGCGGAAGACGGAGGTGCGAGTGTTGTTTTGACAGGAAAATGCTCGGACATTTGAGGAAAACCAAAGCTAACGAAGGTTCAGAAACGGGAATATGAAGGCGGGAAGCGGGCTTAGGGTAACGGTTAACGGTTCTCACGGCAGTGGATTGCTCGCTGACGAGGTTCTTAGGCTCCTGTGACTGGTGCACCACAACCTTGACCAGCTCTTGATCGCTAACGTCCTTCCCGCTCCCTCCCTTGCTCTTCCCAGCGGCTTTATCCTTAGCCGCTCGGACCCGGGCGACCGACCTTCTAGACGGCGGCTGACAGCGACGAGACGAACTGCTTCGAAGGAGATTGTCCGCTCGTTCCAATCTGTGGATATGGTGAGATTGGCTGGAAGGAGCAGTAGCGAGAAGAGGCCTGGCTGAGCTGCAACGAGGGGAGAAAGGGGATCGCTGCCAGCACGAGACGGGGTCTGAACCGCACGTCACGGCGCTGGTGCTACCAGCAGCGCCGACGGTGCTGCTCGTGGTGGTGGTGGGAAGAGATACCAGCCGGGCTTGTTGCGCAACGTAGGTCATCGAGGTCGCTGCCATAATGTGCGGGAGTTTCAGAATTGGGACTTCCTGCACTGTGAGAAGCTAACTGACAGCGTAATGCTTCATGAATAGAGAAACTGATCAATCAAACAGCCGGTCTAGTGCAAAATGAGATGTGCTGAACATGTCATGTCCTGTCCTGTCCTGTCCTCCCTAGGCTCCTGGGTTTGCCAAATGCACACCACCACAGTGCTCACCCAAGGGGAGATGCAAGCCTCAGACTTTTCTTCCAGCTCTTCGCAAGAGTTCACCCCTCACATTCATGCTCATATCTTCATCATTCTTCACCGTCGATCTACAAGCAAGTCATCTCGTAGCCACCAGATGGGCCATGGATTCAGAGAAACATTTCCTTTCAAGGCTTTTCGACCTTTCCGATGTAAATTTTCGCGCGCGCCAGCGTGGAGCCCGATTGGTTCGGGCACCATCTCACCTGGCAGCTGGACGAACCACAGAAACGCCGAAAAGTTAGGTTCCTGCTGTGCGCGGGAAGGCATGTCATTGGTTGATTGGGTGCCTTTGAACTGATGGTTACCAATCCATAACACCTGGATTGTTATGAATTAATCAGAGTAATAACAGGTAGTGTAATAAAAGAGTCGTGATTCAAGAGTTGTCAATACAAATGAGGACCTAGGCATTTATAGGCACAACAGGGCTAGCCGAGAACCTCGCAAACAGGTTAGGGCGATTCGGTTGGCGAAAGCCACGGAGGTGCCGCGCATTAGGTTTGGGTTTACGAAATGGTTCGGGACCGAGGAAAATGGCCGGGCCTGGTCTTCCGAGGGTCGAGGGCGTACGCGCTGTAGTTGAGCCCAGTAAGGAAAAGGAATTTTCCTTACACCACCCCCCCTTCCGAGATGAGACTACCCACATCCGGGACACGTCGTCGGTGTAAGTAGTCCTTGACAACTTTGTGTTCACCGAGCATAGCTGCGGGGACCCAGAGGTCGTCATCAGTCGTACGATCGACCCATCGTACAAGGAAATCGACGGCTGCTCTATCGCGAGAACCTCGTTCGCGATGAGCGAGAATTCTCTATGGCTCGATCGTCGGCTCGGGTACTGGGTTGACCGTAGGATTGATATGTTGACGGTCGAGATCAGTTGTATTCGGGACGAACGGTCGCAGGAGGCTGACGTGGAATGAATCGTGCATGCGCCAGTCGACCGGTAGTTGCAGCTGGGCGGTGACGGGAGTCACCATGCGGATTATGCGGAATGGGCCGCAAAATATTGGTCGTAGTTTATTTGGGAGGGGAATCCCCAAATTTCGAGTGTCGAGCAGGACCAATTGCCCAGGGGCAAGGTTTAAGTCACGGCGTCGTCGGTCAGCTTGCTGCTTAGCCCGTTGGTTGGCTTTGAGAATGGCATCGGCAGCTTTTTGCTGAGACTGTCGGAGGTTTTCGACGAACTGCTGCGATCTGGGTGCCGGATATTCGATCGGTGGCGATAGAGGGGTTGTCGGGTCTATCCCGTAATTAAGGAAGAACGGGGACTGAGTAGTCGTGGCTGATGGGGCGTTGTTGTATGCAAACTCGATCAGTGGAAGAGAATCTTCCCACTGGGCCGAGTCTGTGCACGTTGTACGTATCAGCTGCTCCATCGTCTGATTGGTGCGCTCAGTCTGGCCATCCGATTGCGGGTGGTATGCTGTGGACAGATGCAGACGTGTGTCGTATTGCTGCCAGGTTTTTGTCCAGAAATTGGATGTGAACCGAGGGTCGCGATCGCTGATGATTGCCGAAGGGATTTCGTGTAGCCGCACGATGTTCGTGAGAAACAGCTTCGCTGTCTGCTCGGCAGTGATTGTCGTCTTGCAGGCGGCGAAGTGTGCCATTTTCGTCAAACGGTCAACGACGACGAGAATCGCGTCATTACCGCTTAGACCAGTTGGCAGGCCAGTGACGAAATCCATCGTCACTTGTTGCCAGGGTCGGCTGGGTGGCTCGAGCGGCTACAGTAATCCCGCAGGTCGAAGTCGTGACGACTTCATGCGTTGACACGTGGCGCAGGAGGTGACGTACTGCTGCACGTCCGTCGGCAAATCGGGCCAGTAATAATTACGGCTCAGTAATTTGGCAGTTTTGTCGATGCCGTAGTGACCCGAGAAATTCGAGTCGTGTGCCTCCTGTATCAGTAGCTCGCGTAGGGTACGGTAAGCGGGAACCCAAATCCAATTGGTACCGGATTTTAGATAATAAGCCCCCTGCTTGACTGTCAGTTGGGGATGACTGCTAGTCGTGAAGAATGGGTCGGTACTGTATCCGTGGGTAAATAGTCCAGTTAGCAGCGGATTGGTTTGGGTGATTAGGACAGCGGCGGTATGTACTGAAGGGCGGGTCAGTGCGTCGGCGATGTTGCTGGCCCCTCGTTTGTAGGTGACGCTGTAGTGGAAATTCGACTCGGGATAATCGAGCCAGCGAATCTGTCGGGGGTTGAGTGTCGGTTGGGCGCGGATGAACTGTAGCGATTTGTGGTCTGTTCGGACTGTCACATCAGCGCCCGTCAGGTAGCAGCGCCAAACCTTGAACGCGTGAACGATGGCGAGTAACTCCTTGTCGTGGACGGGATAATTTTGCTCGGCCGGATACAGCTTTCGTGACTCGTAGGCGATGGGTTGAAGGCCTTCGCCGAAGTCCTGTAACAGTACTGCGCCAACAGCCAGGTCGCTAGCGTCGGTGATGAGTTCGAACGGACGGTGAGGATCTGCAATGCGAAGAACCGGAGGTGTTGTCAGGAAAATTTTGTGTTGGTCGAACGCAGCCTGCTGCTCTCCCCCCCACTCATAAAACTTGCCTTTCTTCAGAAGATCCGTGAGATGGGAAGTTACCCCCGCCATGTTCGGAATGAATTGGCGAACGTAATTCACAAACCCCAGGAAACTTTGAAGTTCGCGGAGATTAGCCGGCCGCTTCCAGTCTTGTATTAACACCGTCGATGGAAATAACGTGTCCCAAAAACTCCAGTTCTTGTTTCAGAAACTCGCACTTAGAACCCTTGGTGATGAGTCGATGCTGCTGCAGGAGAGCGAAGACTGCTTCCAAATCCGTCAAACGTTCTTCCCGGGTAGTGCTGTGTATCAGGATGTCGTCGAGGTACACAATGACGCATTTATCCAGCAGCGGCCAAAAAACTTCGTTCATGGTTAACTGGAATGTTGAAGGCGCGTTGGTTAAGCCAGAAGGCATGACCGTGTACTCGTAACTCCCGTATCGGGTTTGGAACGCCGTCTTGTAGCAGTCAGCTTCGTTGACACGGATCTGGTGGTAACCGCCTCGCAGGTCAATTTTCGAAAAGAACTTTGCCCCACGAAGTTGGTCGATGAGTTCGTCGGCACGCGGAATATGATAGCGAGACTTGATGGTAACCCGGTTCAAGGCGCGGTAGTCAATGCACATTCGTAGACCGCCATCTTTCTTCGGGGTGAACAGTATCGGAGCTGCGAACGGTGAAGTACTGGGGCGAACGAAACCTTTCTCGAGCAGGTAATCCAGCTGGCGTCGAAGTTCATCCAGCTCTGGCTGAGTCAGCCTCCACTGTGTCCGAACCGTCGGTTGCGCGCCGGGCTCCAGCTGGATTTTATGGTCCTGGTCTCACTCGGGTGGCAATCCTGGCGATAGGTCGTCCGGAAAGATGTCGGCATGCTTCCGGATCAATATCGCCAAGTCGTCGGGGACTGCCGCGCAGAGTTTGTCGATGTCGGCCGGTGCGCTGACAGCCGTGGATGCGATCCATCTGACGGCGTACAGTTGTGCCCCGCGAATCATCGCTCGCTTGATGGTAACCGCGCTGACTGTCGCAGAATCTGGATTGTTCCACTTCGGAAGTTGTCGCCACTCGCCACTCCATTTGATACGACAGTCACCCGTCCGCCAATCAATGCTCGGGTTGTACTCGCGCAGCCAATCGCGTCCCAGCAGCATGTCGCAGCCGTCCAACGTTGTCGCCAGCATCTTCGTCGTAAAGCTGAAATTGTCGCCGCATGTAACTCGCACATGAGGTATTCGCTCCCGAATTGCCAGGGGTGTGCCATCGACCAATCGCGCGTCGATTTCAGGCAGACACCGCTCCAGTTGCAGTCGCAATTTTTTCGCTTTCGTCACATCCATTAAACTGTGGCTTGCCCCGCCATCAACAAATATTTTTATGCGGGTATCACCAACTCTCCCTTCAACCAGCACAGGGTGATCAACCAGTTCACCCCCCTTATTCCGCCAGGAATGGTCGATAGCCCAAATCGGCACTATAACCTGGTGGGGGTGGTGGCATTTGGGCGACGCAGTCAAGTCAGTAGGTGGCCCATCTGCTACTGACGATCTCCATTTCCCGATTGCTTCTTGTCGTTAGGTAAGTTCTTCTTCAGCTGCGGGCAGTCCCTCACCATGTGACCCGGATGGTTGCAGTGGAAGCAGGTCCCCGAAAATACTCGGGCTGCAAACACGTCCACGCCATTGATTGATGTGTGTTGGGGCTGGCCTCGGAAGCGATTTCCCTCCCGGAAACCCGCTCTCGCGAGTCCACGTCGCGCGTCCAGCGCATCCGCCATGCGAACAATCTCGTTGAAGGTCGTCGGGGCTCGTAGGACGATTTCTTGTTGAATCTCTGGTTTGAGTCCGCCCACGTAGCGATCGATTTTCTCGTCCTCGCTGATCCCTCCGATTTGGTCGCAGATGGCCAGAAACGACGCCGTTTATTCTTGGACAGGGCCCAACTGTCTCCACATCCGAAGCTTTGTGCGAGCATTTTCGCGCATGGATATGTGCTCGAATCTGCTCTTCAACGCTTCGCCCCACGCTTTCCACGTGCGGATCGTGGTCGAGCCAAAGATTGGTTCTGCCGTTGCCGTTGATGAACTCATCTCCCCAGCTGCCGCCCGTTGATTCCCTGCCGGAGCTCCTCCCTCGTCAAGATGCATGCGCCACCAGTCGAGTGCTGGTCCCCTCAGCAGCGACACAGCCAAGTTGACACGTGAGGCGTTGTCATTAATACTTGTTGCCGTCAAGAAGATTTCCATGGCGAACAACCACCCGCTCACGATGGTCGTCCTGTCTGTCGGGTTGAACGGTGGCGGCATGGGAGGCTTGATT